GGGAGCTAAATGCAGCCCATAGGCATGTTACCCCTTTTTTAAGCTGTGTGCCTCTCCACCAGTCAGGATCAATCTGTCAGGCACGGGCCAGCAGTAAATCACACCAGGCCAGTTGGAGTTAACTCTTTATTAGCAAGAACACGATCTGCACAGACTTGGCTGAGTGACAGGCCTAATGAGCACAGCAGCTCATCCCTGGTAGGTCTTGTCCCATGGATCAGTTGCTGAGACTGAAAGTCCTTGCCTCCTGACATCCGTCTAAGTCCCCGCCTCTCCAGGGCTTTCCCCAAGCAATCAGAGACTGTGTCTGCATGCAGCCAACCTCTCCTCCGCTCTTTTCACGCCTCTCCTGGTTCTGGGAGATGGGGAGGGACTTGCTCCATGACTCTTCACCAGCCTGACTCATCTCTGCCTCTTGGCCTCCCTTCTCTCCTGCTTCAGCTTCTGTCTCTGATTCTGGACCTCTCTGCTACAGACTCTCCCAGGTCACTAAGCCCTGGTACCTCTTCAGCTTCTGACACCTCTTCCCAGTCCTCCCTCTGACTACTCATGGTTGTCTCACCACCACTCCCTGGGCTCTGAACCTTCTTCCCTTGGTGGTTCCCCAGATGGTTCATCCCAGCATCCCTCTGTGACCAAGCAGTCCATGAAACCACCTATGCTCAACCTATACTTTTGTAAATAAACTCAAACATTACATAACACCAGTCAGCCCCCAGTGGCTTCCTTCCAAAGGAAGCCAAACATAGGTAAGCCCTCTTACACACCTAGAATGTCGCAAAACTCAGAGAACGGGGTGTGTATCAAAGTGGGATAAATTGATTCAAAATGGTTCTGGTCATGCTAATGCCTCACTTGCAGTTTTAATCTGTTCCCTGGCAGGGAGGATGGTCTGGCTAAACAGCCTCAGCCCAGTATACCTGAACGAGCGTCTCCACCCCCATCGTTCTGCCCGGACACTGAGGTCCAGCTCCGAGGGCCTTCTGGCAGTTCCCTCACTGCCAGAAGTGAGGTTACAGGGAACCCGGCAGAGGGCCTTCTCGGTAGTGGCACCCGCCCTGTGGGACACCCTCTCATCAGATGTCAAGGAAATAAAGAACTATCTGCCTTTTAGAAGACATCTGAAGGCAACCCTGTTTCAGGAAGTTTTTAACGTTTGATGTTTTATCATGTTTTTAATATTCTGTTGGGAGCTGCCCAGGGTAGGGTATGAATGAAAATAACAATAATTACAGCCACCACATCACCAGGCATACCCACATACTGGAAGGGTCAAATGGTCCTCTGCCCCTGTGATGCTGCAGTGGCTTGCCAGCACAAAGGATGAATTGATTGATGGGGTAGTGGTTGGATACAGGGCTTTCAAGCATTTCGGCTGGGAGTTCTGCTGAGGTTAATGCCAAAATCATTTACTTAACGAATTATATCCTGCCTTTCCTCCGAGCTCAAGACATGGTTCTCTTCCTCCCCATTTTATCCACAGAACAATCCTGTTCTGGTTAGGCTGAGACTGTGACTGGACCAAGGTCACCCTGTGAAATTCATGGCCAAGTGGGGATTTGAACTCTGGTCCCTTAGGTGCTAGTCTAAGCTCTCTAACTTCTACATCATGCTGGCTGAGAGCTGCTGAGCTGAGTGCAATGACTAGGGAATGTCTCTGCACCCTTGGATACCCTGGGCAGAGTCTTATACCTCCAGAGCCCACCACTCTGCCTGCTGCCAGTTTGGCCCATATACACACACCCGACCCTCTGCCATTCTCCTTCCCTCCAGGATCTGCTAAGCCACAGCGGGACTGGCAGGGCAGAAGGCAGAGAGGGCAGCAGTAGGTGGAGCCACTCTGGGAGGCACTGGGAATAAGGAGCAGGAAGCTGACAGATAGGACTACCACCTGGCTGCAAGTCAGAAGGTAGGCAGGTGGGGGCCCATCAATGGCAAGCAAGGTTGGTAAGGCAGTGCCCCATTATCCCTAATGGGCAGCCGTCCATGGGCCAGCTGCAGAGCTTCCCTTGCGGCAGAGGGCGCAGAGCCAGCTTGGGTGCCTGTCGGGACCTGTCTCAAAGGTGCAGCAAATAAGCAATTTGCACAGCAAGGATTGCAGAAGAAAGTGTGAAATTAGTTTCTAGGGGGCAAGGGGGATTTATTTTGTTTTAAAATAAAAATCGCAGCATGAAGTGGTTGCATGAGAGGAGAAAATAAATAGAAAACAGAGGAGGAGGGCGTGAGACCGCAAGGAAGCACACACAGAGTCATTGGGAGGTGTGAAAGATTACACAGAAAGAGAGAGATAAAAGAAGTCACAAGGTGGCATAAAAGAAACAAGGGGAGAACATCTCCATGGCAGAACAAAAGTCACAAGAGGCAGGAAAATAAATCACAGAGAGTTCTGAGGGGGAAACAACAGTGGGGGGGTGACGTGTTGCAAAGTGAGCTGGGGGGGTAACCAGTCACTTCTAAGGTGTATGGAGGGATGAAAATATCCTGTTATAGGCTGTTGTTACTGTTTCATTCTCAGAGAATAAGAGATACAGCAATGAGTTAACAGGTTGGAGCAGAACCTTAAGTCAACTAATGAAGAACATGTTGCTGTTTATTTGCTTGCGCTTCAAACATTTATTTATTGCATTTCTAATCCCACCTTTTTCTCCAAGGAGCTCAATTGCCCTTTGTGGGGCACATGGTTTTCCTCCTCCTCATTTAATCCCCACCACAACCCTGTGGGGTAGGTTAGGCTGAGTGGCAGTGACCGGCCCAAAGTCGCCCAATGAGCTTCATGGCCAAGTAGGGATTTGAACCCTGGTCTCCCAGGTCCTAGTCCAACACTCTAACCACTACACCACACTGGCTCTCATTTCCTGCCCTGCCCCGCATCACAAACTGCCATAACTTGGATAGTGTGGAATTTGTTGGGCTCTGGGGGTGAGCCTTTGCTAAAAACCTGGGTGGTCACACACACACAAGTCATCAGACCGCTTGCAACTGGGGGCCACAGCAGAGAAGGCCCTCCCCTGGTTGCCATCAGATCAACCAAGAGGGCTTTATCCTGAGGTTTCAGAAGCCAGGACCGTGCAGGTGTTACCTCAGGTAACCAGGTCCCAAATTGTTCAGGGCTTTATAAGTCAGCAAACAGAACCTTTAAAGAAGTGTTTGGATTTATGCTGATTTTTTGTTCGTTTGTTTTATTGTCCCAGTTTTCAGTGGATTGTGGGTTTTTATGCACAGCTGCTTAGAAATGTAACTATTTAAGCGGCATATAAATGTCTTAAATAAATAAATTGGCAGATCATGTTGCTCCATCGACAGAAGTGTTTCGTGATTACAGGAGGCTGTTCCGTTAACAACCTAAACAGCGGAGTTTTGCACAAGTGGCTGTTAGGTTTGCTTAATAGTGATGTGGTCAATGGTGCTACTCAGAGGTATGTCTTTGTAATTATAACCTGCATGGCAGCACATCTGTGAGCTCTTAACAATTCAACACACCTGTAGTATCTTAACAATTTAGCTAATTAGCAGGGGGGAGTTTATCTGCTGCATCGAATGGGTAATTGATTATTTTGAAATCTGTATTTAAATTGACCTAATGCTTTGTGTAGGGTCGCGGGTGGCGCTGTGGGTTAAACCACAGAGCCTAGGGCTTGCCGATCAGAAGGTCGGTGGTTTGAATCCCCGTGACGGGGTGAGCTCCCGTTGCTCGGTCCCTGCTCCTGCCAACCTAGCAGTTCAAAAGCACGTCAGAGTGCAAGTAGATAAATAGGTACTGCTCCGGCGGGAAGGTAAACGGTGTTTCCGTGCGCTGCTCTGGTTCGCCAGAAGCGGCTTAGTCATGCTGGCCACATGACCCGGAAGCTGTACGCCGGCTCTCTTGGCCAATAAAGCGAGATGAGCGCCGCAACCGCAGAGTCGTCCGCGACTGGACCTAATGGTCAGGGGTCCCTTTACCTTTAATGCTTTGTGTGGTACTCGCTGGTGTAGAGTGGTGAGTTGTAAGTGTTTGATTATTATTTAAAATAAAATAAGCAAAGATATTGCAGGCTAATTTTCATTCCATTGCCCCAATCGCTGCGTAAACTCGGTTGGCGAAGAAAGTCCAACAGCAGCAACTTCTGAGCCAACCTTAAGGCAGCCTTACACAGTGCACAACCCAGGAGTCAAATCTTGAGATTAACCAACAAATGGGTCACTGTCATCAAGCCATCCCAGTCCAGGTGATGGCTGTATCTCACACACCAGCCTCAGCTGGAAAAGGGATGCAGTGAGCCACTGCAGAATCTTATTGAACCATCCATTGACAACAATGGCTCAATAAGCACCCCCTCCGCCCAATACTACTCATCTGTCCAGAACAAGCAAACTGCCCAATTCCCCGACCTGGGAACTGCCTACCCAAAGGGCTTCCCATCTTCTGGGATTCAGCGTCAACTCATGCATTCAGTTCAGTGTGTGCACTTTCTCAGATGGTGGGTGCCTCAGGCTTCAGAAATATGATGCTTTTTATCAACACACAACCTGCCTTCTTCATGCACGTTGCTTTTCAAAAGATAAAAGAGAGGTCCTTGCAGCAAGGAGTTTGCAATACAAAATTCATCACAGGTAAGACAACAGAAGAAAAGGGGGCAAGCAGAAGTAGGGAAGAAAAGGGGGATCCTTTGTGTTATTTCAGGTACATGTACTTATGCTTATTTACAGCTACTAGGGTATGTGCAAAAATATACACACCCCAACCCATTTTGTCACTTCACATCTGATCCGCGGAAATTTGTTAATCTCCTGATGTACCGCAAGTCTCTATTTTGTCCCAGTTTGTGTTTATTCAGCTATGGTGTGCGTGTGTTTTTAAAAAAATCCCCTTCCCACTCACCCTTTTTACGTCACGTTGGAGTTTTGTATATCTAAAAAGTGGTATATGAATGCTTAAAACAAATGGAGCTGCACCGGCGTCCCTCAAAACTCAATTCAGGTTTTTTCCCCTCTCTCTCTTTCCCCCACCACGCTAGTGTAAAATGCGCAAAAGTGAGTCAGGCTCTCGCCACCCTCCGCCAGAGGCAGCAGCCGCTGAACTGAGCCGCCCGAGCACAGCCTCCGAAAGGCGCTCCCGGCGTTTTCCGATTGGCTCCGGCTTCTCGCTCGATCGTCCACTGCCGCCTTCTCGGAACGCTCCTGACGTCACGCAGAACTGCCCGAAGGACAACCCGAGCGGTTCCGAGCTGCCGCCGAGCTCTTCCGAAGCCCTCCTCACAGGAACGCCGCCATTTTCCGAAAGCTTCGCGAAAGGCCCTCGAGAGGCTGCCGTTCAAAACTGAAAGGCAATGATGGTGCCGCTCTATCCCTCGACATCTCTGTGGCGAAACCTCCCTCTCTCCCCCCGCCCCTCTATAGCTTTACAGTCGGGTTGGAAAAGCTGTTCGAACGTAGGCCGGAAGTGCCCGCGAGACTCCCTGCGCCGCAAAGCGGAAGAGGCGGGCAGCACCGAGAGGTGGGAAGGAGCTGGTATAAAACCCCCTCGCGCCGGCTCCGGACCTCCTTTTCCGTTTCCGGCCGTCGTCGCGAGAAGAGGGTAAGGAGTGGGCCTCGTGTTTGTCCTGGACGGGGGAAGTGGGATTATCCCGGTTGGAGGGGAGGGAAGAGAATTGGGGGCAGTGAGGGCAGGTTCGGGGTCCTCTCCCGCAGTGTATGGGCCTGAGGCCTACCAGATAGTGGGGAGGGGAAGTTGGTTTGGAGGGGGCTGTCACGTGGCCAGTCCCTCCATTTCAGTCTTGTAGGTTGATTTCAATTGTCTGGGCACAAAAAGGGCTTGTGCGTCGCCTAATTCCTACCCTCATTCCCGGAGGCAGCGCGCAGGTTCATTTTACTTTTGGTATGCGCTAAGATTGGGCTAATTTTTTAACAGTTAAGGGGCTCTCTCTTTCCCTTACCGTGTTGAGGATGCTTGTCAGCTCCTGAGTCCGGTTTTTGTGTGTGTGAAATCGTCTGTGCATTGGTGCCTCGCTAGCTTGAGGTTCGAATGAATGCGTGGCATGTTACAAAGGTATAATATGACTCTGTATGTGGTAAGGAGAATTAATGCAGGGTTCATTGACCCAATGATGAGCTTTGAAATATGTCATTCACCCGAACCCAAATTCTTAGAAATGTAAATGAAATAAAATCAAGCATGAATGATATATAATCAACATTTAGCCACCATCAATTGCCATCTCTAGGATTCCCAAAATGTAAAAATTAGATATCTTATTAAATACAGAGGCTTCTCAATGGCGAGGGAGGTGCACTCTATATTCCCACACCCTTTTTATCTGAGGTTCATGATTCCTAAGTAATTTGTTGTTCGTTCATTTGCACTATCCCTTGTAAACTTCATTTCAACCCCAAGGTCTTTATTTACCTTCTACATAGTCCCATTGACCTCAGGGTGCTCAGTATCCACCACTTTGGGAAACCCTGGTTAACAATGTTATAAGGGTAGATTATGTCTTATGGTAAACAGCAACTCATTTGCAGGCATCTTCCTAATCACATGATATCAATGTTATTGTCCTCCTTTTAAGTTTATATTTCCCTTACCATCATTGGCTGTGTCTACTTGCTGTGACATATCAGGGGGAAGAAGATACAACAGAATTCTACTACTACCACTCACTGATAGAAGAAGTAGTATTTAAACAAATAGCCTATTCTTGAGGCCTAATAATTGCCTTTTGTCTACTGTATTGTAGTGTGCTGTATTAGGAATCTGATGAGCATAGCCCCCTCTTTGTTACTACATTTATATCCCACTTTTTCTCCAAGGAGATCAAGGTGGCATACACACTTCTCCCACCTCCAGTTCATCTTTACAAGTGAGTGAGGTTAGCCTGAGAGAGCGAGAAAGAATGATTGAGTGAGTAAGTGAAGGTGAGCCACTGAGTTTCATTGAGTGGGGACTTGGGCCTAATCTGCCAGGTCCTAGTCCAGCATTCTAACCACAACAGCACATTGTCTCTTTCATTGTGTTGGGAGAGGAGTGTGACATTTAGAGGTACCAGGATGTCAAGACTGGAATAATGTGTAAAGGAGCATAAAATTAGAGGGGAAATACCTAAAGCAGGAGAGTGTGAGGACATAGACGGATATTCACTGGGCTTCTGACAATGCCATATTTCTTTTTCTTCTCATTGCTTGGTCTTCTCATCCCTAGGATTCTGCACGATGTCTGCCCATCTGCAATGGATGATAGTGCGCAACTGCTCGAGTTTCCTTATCAAAAGGAACAAGCAAATATATAGCACGGTGAGCTGCCCTCAATTTAAAAATAAAAATCGGGAGCCTTGACCTTCTACCCTCTTTGCTGAAAATTCTAGTCCTTATTTCCTTCCTAAAGAACTTTGCTGATCTAGGTTTTATTTTCCAACAATTCTGTTTCCCTTTTTGAAGCAAAAAAGGGGGGAGGAATCCCTCACTTTCAAACACATTCTTAAGCTCTCCTCTTTTACTCTTGGAACCCAGGAGTCCTAGTAACATGTTTTCTTGTTTCTTCCAAGGAACCAAACAACCTCAAAGCCCGCAACTCTTTCCGCTACAATGGACTGATTCATCGCAAGACTGTTGGGGTGGAACCTGCAGCTGATGGAAAGGGCATTGTTGTGGTCCTCAAGAAGCGTGCAGGTGGGTTAGCCTAGTTTAGAGCAAAATAATGCTGAAGAGTGAGGGGGCGGAGGTTGGGGGGAAGAGTGTGAGCAGGGTGTAAAAGATCTGTTTAGTGAATAAGCACTACAATAGGGTGGTGGAAGCAGTCCCACCAGACCATAGAAAATTTGGTAGAGTGCCAGAGGGATGCAGTTTTGTGGCTGGAGGGAGAGGGACTTACCCCTTTTGCCCACACTGCCTGGCTGTACCAAGTGCCCATATTCATTCCAGCCATTGTTTAAAAATGAAATTCTAAATCCTTGAAAATACGGATTTGGGGAACAGGAAAAGTTATCAAAAATTAAGGTCTGCATATTTCTCTGTGGGGTCATAAAATCACCAGTGCTCTTCAACGTCTACATGATATCACTTGGAGATAGATCATCTGGGGCCAGGGAGTGGGTTTATATGCTGATGAGACTCATCTCTACAATTCCATGCCACCCTGTTCTGGGGAGGCCAGACAGTTCTGAATCTGTGTCTGGAGCCAGTGGCAGACTGGATGAAGGTACACAAACTGAAATTTAAACCGGGACAAGACAACAGTGCTGTTGGGTAGGAGTTCTACTGGTTCAGGAACAGGAGGTTGTCCTGTTTTGGATGATATAGCGCTTCCCAAGATCTCCTGCATCCGGCTTGTTGGATGTTCACAAATCTGCTGTGGCTTGGAGTACTTTTGCCGAAGTTCAGCTGCTTTGCCAGATGTGCCTTACCTGATAGTTCTGGCTATGGTCCTACGTGCATATCTCAGTTTTGCTACTGCTATGCCATTTGTGTGGAGCTGCCTTTGAAAACCACAGAAAAACCAATAGGTGCAGAAGGCTGCTGCGGAAATCTTGACTGGGGCAAGCTGTTGCGATTGTGTGGCCACTCCCCCCCCCCCTTATGATGTATATAGGATTAATTCTTTCAGTGTTTAATTGTATTTTAATGATCAATATTTCTGTGTTTTTAGCGGTTCTTGTTTTTATCTGTAAGCCACCTTGAATCCTGTCAAGGGAAAAGGCGGAAAATAAATAACACCGGGTATACTTGCTCTCAGTCTGTTTCCCCATGCAATTCAAGGTGCTGATTACATATAAAACCCTATTCTGACTGCGACCAAACCCTTTGAAGGGCAATCTCCTCTTTTGTGAATCTTCCCATCCTTTAAGATCAGCCATTGTCCCTCACTTGTGTGTGCTGCCATCTAGAACGTGAATTTGGACTGAAAGTCTTGAGCTGAAAAATTAAGCTGAGCTTACTGGGTAGGTCTTAGGCAGGCCACTGTGTCTCTCAACTTCAGCTGCAATATGGGGTGAAAATACTGGCCTACCCCGCGTGGTGACTATAATGTGGGAACCTGAGAATCTCCAGATGTTGCTGGACTACATCTCCTTATTTTGAAGGGACGCAGGTGGCGCTGTGGTCTAAACCACTGTGCCTCTTTGGCTTGCTGATAGGAAGGTCGGCAGTTCTAATCCGTCCAAGTGGGTGGGCTCCCATTGCTCTTTCCCAGCTCCTGCCAACCTAGCAGTTCGAAAGCACATCAGTACAAGTAGATAAATAGGTGCTGCTGCGGCAGGAAGGTAAATGTTATTTCTGTGCATTCTGGTTTCCATCACGGTGTTCCGTTGTGCCAGAAGCGGTTTAGTCATGCTGGCCACATGACCCAGAAAGCTGTCTGGACAAACGCCGGCTCCCTGGGCCTGGAAAGTGAGCTGAGCCCCACACCCCATAGTTGCCTTTGACTGACTTGACTGTCCAGGGGACATTTACCGTTTTACCTTTATTCTAATTATTGACCATGCTGACTGGGGTTGATGGTAAGGACTTCCAAACTATATTCTCTTAAGTGCACTGGTGTGTCATTTGCTATTGCTGCTTCCATCTTAGAGATTCTAGGTTCTTGTTCCATCCATGCGACCTAACCTTTCACTCTTGCAGGCCAGCGGAAGCCAGCCACCTCTTACGAGAAGATCACCATCAACAAAAATGCCCGTGCCACTCTTAGCAGCCTCCGCCACATCATCCGCAAGAACAACTACCGCAAAGACCTGCGCATGGTAAGATGAGACCCTTTGGTTTCTCCCTCTGTAGATTTGCACTGGGATATATTTAGTCTCCATATGGAGCATATGGTGGCAATTCATCAGAAACAAAATGGCATGGTAAGCTGGCATTTTAGAGTGAAAATTGAGATGTTTACGAAATCTATCTAACGCTATGAATGTTCAAAGTGTGGTGCAGTCAATGAAAAGCGCCCTTCTGTGTAAAACCAGGGTTACGATAGCATGTTTTGAATTGCAAAAGACATTGAGAAATTGCCAAAGGGTTTCTGTTTCACTCCTGCTTTAGGAGTGAAGATGGTTCTGCTCATTTAAGTTGGTAGATCTGAAAAGAGGCGGGGAGGAGAGGAGGGTATTACAAGTTTGAGGAACAGTATAGAAATGAGGTGTTTCAGGATCTGGGTTTTGTAAGAAACCGCTGGAGGTGCTTAACCTGGAATTAACTGCTGTGCTTTGTAGCCTCAGTTTTCCATCGGAGGCTCTTGTTGGCTCACGTCTCCTCTTAACTCTCTCTCAGGCTGCTCTGCGTCGTGCCAGTGCAATTCTGCGCAGCCAGAAGCCGGTGGTGGTGAAGAAGAAGCGAACCCGGGCTACAAAGGCTACATAAAACAGTTGTCAGATTATCCAATAAAGGATTAGAACCAGAACATGGCGTTGCTGATTGGTGTTAATAGATTGAAACCTGGCTTGTTTCTTCCCCAGTGAATACAAGCCCTGGTCTGCAGTTGTCATTTTGCTGAATTGCCTCCCAAAAGGCAAAAGAGGCTGTGTTGCTCCCTGGTCTGCAGAGATTCCTTTGCACCAAGAGAACATCATAGGCCAGTCAATTCAAAAAATTAGTGGCCAAATACTCTCCTACCTTGCTTGATAACTTGGTTTCTCATACACATACAACTACTTTGCATTGTGGACTCTCTTGTCCCAATTGTTGGGAAGCTTACTCTTTTATAACTCCTGCTGAGAATAGCACTCTGAGACTATAATGGAAGTGGCCTCTGTAAAAGCATATAGCACTATACATGTGGCAGGCTTTAAGGTGCTACAAGACAAATTCAGTAGTGGGGAAAAAAGGAATAGAAGAAAGGCATAGGAGGAAATGGGATGGGGTGGGGAGAGAAAATAAAAGGAGCCAGTCTTTTAAGTCTCCATGTCCACTATTGGGGGTCATGGAGGTGATTTACAGATGCTTGTTTAATTGCCTTGACAATGACCAACAGATGGCAGTTTAGAGCTAAGAAAACTCCTTGTTCCCACCCAGTACACATCCATTTTTTCTTGTCCCAAGGGATAGATGAATACCAATGAATTTTATTCTAAGGTGAGGCTTAGAAGCACTTGAAAACCAGCTCTTGTGTTAATGTCTCTGCCTCAAATATAAGAGCTGGCTGCTGAATGATCATTGCACTTTGTGCTCGTTCAGAGCGTCGTCGTGTGAGAGAGCAACGATGCAGGCAAAAACAATGATGGGCTGCTGCCTGCAGAATCCGGTAGTTAAGCTAGGAAAGTCACTGGTGAGAGAAGGCATAAGCTGCAATTCTAGCTCCACTTACCTGAGAGTAACTGAATTCACCAGGACCTACATCTAAGTAGACACAGGGTTGCATCAAATATTTTCACAAACTTTTCTGTTCCCTTTCCCCTTGCATTTAGTGGTTGGAGAAGCCGCAGAAAGACTTGATAAGAGGCTAGACTAGCCCTATATATATATATTTACAAAATTCTTCTGCATTTCTTTTCTCCCAAGAAGTGCTGGTGGTCCAGGGCTTCCTTTCCTTATCATGCTTTTATCTCCACAACAATCCTGAGAGAGGAAACTAGGCTGACAGGTTTCATTGCTGGGATTTGAACCTGGGACTGGAGTCCAAGCACTGCTGCTACTATTCTCATGCTTTAAAAGGGTGGGGTGGGGTAGGGAGTGGGGCAATCGGAAAGGAACATCCCAAAGTACCTGCTTGAGATTGATGGAAGGCTTGTTTGGGGAAAACAAGCTGCAGAAGGGAGGGGACCGAACAGGAAATAGGACGGACCTGGTGTGAAATGGATGTGCATTCGCATGCATGCTTCATGAACCTCACCCGTCCATGCAACGTTGATTCCCTGGTGAGAAATGCGGCGAAGCTTCCAGATTTAAAACACCTCACTGTTCTGTATAGCATGTGCCTTCCGCATGAAAGCTGTGAGGTTCTGGCAGGTCCACAACTGAGGTGATTGGATCTCAGGAGATGGCTATGGCCATAGGGCCAGGTGTGAGTGCATTTCCCTAAATCCACCTATCCTTACAGGTGGCTCTAGCTATCTTTGTTAGAGCTCTGTGGTGCTTGCTGAGCCAAAGCAAGGTGATCTAATAGGCCCAGCAGGCAATTGGCAGGCCTCCCAATGACCCCAGCTAGCTATTTGAAGCCCTGGGCTGACGTATGTCCTGACCTCTTTCCTGCCCTGCCATCTCCCTTCCTGGCACCACAATTGAGCGGGCAGCCAGAGTTGGGGGAGGAGGGTTCCCCCTTCTCTCCAGAAGTCCCAATTCTGGCACAGAGTCCTCTGGGAGGGGGAAAAGACCTTTTCTCAGCAGCACTGTATTAGGAATTCATTCATATATTTTATTTCATTCAATATCCCACCATTACATCACTAAACCCATATATAGGTACTCTTTTCCCCCCAGCTTAACCATGCAACAGCCTTGCAGCTTTACCTTTACAACTCAAAGTAAATATCTTCAGAGGGTATAAATGTTAGATGCACCTTCATACACAATATTCATTGGCATGACAATCGACATGGCATGTTTCTGTCGGACAAAAACAAACAAACCGAAGTTATTGCATGACCACCGCCCTGTGGGCTGTTTTGCACTGCATGGCCGGTGGTGAAGCAGTGAAGGGCCAAAGGCCGCAGCTATGTCCTGTAGGTCAGGGCTTCTTAAACTTTCTACCCCCAGGGCCCACTTGAGAAGGCTGAAAGTTACTGAGGCCCATCAGCCACTAAATGGTGCCGCAGGGACAGAGCCAATCACAACATGGCAGCAGGTGAAAGCAGAGTTTGGTCTTGTATCAGTCAACTAGCAGGAACTGACTTTGCTTTCTGCTTGATACCTAATCTGTCTCTGGAAATGGCTGCGTTATTTGCCACAGCCTTTTCCTTCAACCCCTCCTCTGGCCCTTTTCCCTCAGAGAAGAGAAAACCTCCTCCCCACATGAATGTCTCTGTCTCCCAGCCCCTTTTACTCAGCTTCTGTATGTGTCATGTGGGGATGTAGTTGTGACAGAAATCTTGTCCTTTGCTTTCGGCTGCAAAATGTATTTGAACTGTGTCTTTCCAAGGATAATACATAAAGCTGATTGAAAATAAACGAATCACTAGATTATGGAAAAGCAATAAGGCGCATAGCTAAATATAATATAGAAGGGAATGTGGCAGGATGCATAAAATTAATGACATGTTGTAGTAATGCCGCTTAATCTCTGGAAAGTTAGCATCTGCGCATGGGCAAAGGGCATCCCTTTAGGACCATCTTGCAAGTCTAGGCAAAACTCCAGTGAGACTGGCCATGGGCTAAGCAATGTTCACCTGCACATGGACTTTGGTTGAGACTGAGTGCATAATGTGGGGATGAAAATGTACTATGCTATGTTGTGACTTGGTGAACTCTAGGATGTGTGTGTGAGACTTTCCTAATGCAATTTGAAAGCGGACAGCTCCTAGACCAAACTCCCAACTATGCCTGGGGTGTGTCATTAGCAGGAAACCGGGGCTTGCTCTCAGAACAATGTCCTGACCTAGGAGTGGCACCGTGGGCCGGAGTGATAAGCTTGGTCTGTTTATACATGGGCACCGAGATGGCCGAGATCAAGCCAGCCACCAAGAGTATATTGTCTGCAGTTACACTCGTAGTCAGTCCAGGGTTTGGGAACGGGGGCCTTCCTTTCCTCTTCGAGGCCTTGCCTTTGCTGGATGGGTCTGGGCCAAATTGATTGTACGAGGTCTAAAGATGCAGTTTTCAGTAATTTGTATGCTAAACTGGACAATACCACTTCAGACTGGGAATGAAGACTCCCGTGACTGAATGCCCTGCACATAGAAATCTATAGCGAAAGGAAAGGATCTAACCTACTTTTCTTCTTGATAGGCTAATTTTCTATGTGCAGGAATTCCTTTGCTCCCTCCACTTCTAGAAGAGCATGTGAGTCGCCCCTTGCAGTCTGAAGTAGTCCAGAAAAACATTTACCATCTCACCTGGTCTTCCTTGGAGCCTTGACCAGCTCCCCAGATTTGCAGTGTGGAAAATATACTGCCAGAAGGAGCAGATGGCTCAGAAGTGGAAGCACCATTGCAGGGAATTGGTTGCTTACAGTTGTGTGCTTTGCCCTGAGAAGATGGAAACTTGGAGGGAGGCTATCCCTTCTTTATCAGAGAGCACCCAACAGGGTTCAACGAAAAGAGAGAGGCATATATATTTTCTGTCTTTGTCTTGAATGGCACAAGTAGGGCTGGATAAGCATTCTACCAACTCGTTCTGCACCAGAAATAATTCTAAAATACAATACTCCGCTTCCAGTAAGTAAGAGAAGTGCAAAGAGCTACACAAGATACTAATACACCACCCTCTCTTACCCATGGAAATCCACCTCAGCCAATATTTGCAAACTTGGGAACTAGAAACGTGCTTTAAAAAGAAAGAAAAGAAAGCAGAGAGGTTCAATTTTGGGGTAGGCGTGTGGTTTCTAGGAATAAGTCATCTTACCGATGTGAACAAATGTGAACAAATTATTGGCCCTTATAATGGTGAGGAATGAGGTTTTGGTGGAGGGCAATGGATTTTCTTCATGCCTCATAAGGACTAGGAACTTATAGAGACGTAAAGTTTTGTAGACTGCATTCCACTTCGTCAGTTGCAAGGAATTAGGATTGGGAAAGGGATCCTTTTCTTCACCCAGGCCTAGGACTTTGTTGCCAAGTGCTGGCACAGCGTAAAAGGTAAGACATTATTCCGATGCGTTTCCAAAACATTGTCACTTCTTGCAGTCTTACCGTGTCAGAATCAGGTAAGGATGGTTGGAGTAGCCCCAACTGTGTCCAGACTAGAAGGGAAACGTGGGTAAGAAATGGCCCAGAATGGATTTCCAATTTATATAGGTTGAAAACCCCAGAATGCAGTTGCCGTTTGTTCAAAGTGGAAACCGGCTGATTATAAAACCTGGACTGGTTTGGATTGAGATTTTCCAATGGATTTTGGAACCTGTCACCAGTTCAAAATTGGGTTTTCCTTGAAAAACAGCCTTTTGGGTTGGATTCTCACTCCATGCTGAAGTGTTCTTCTGGCTGACAGGATAAATCTGGTCTCAGGTCTTCATATGACCGCTTTCTTTGCTTCTGGCTCCATCAGTAGAGTCCAGCTGCCACACCTCTTCCGGCTCCTGTACTGCTGCCACAAGCAGCTGACAGCCACCCCCAAGACCCCGGACCCCAGCAAGACCCACCCCAGGACAGACAACACAGAGCCAGGAGGGTCACGGACACCAGCCACACCAGTGGCAGCCAGGCCAATGATGCTCATCAGCAGCCCAAAGGGAAGCAGGCAGTCTCGGCAGGAGGCCTCCACACCTCCCGTGATGGTACTTATGAGGCGGGGGTCCAGGGGCAAGGCCGAGCGCTCCAGGAAAACCTCTTCCCTCTCCATGTTGACCCTCACACGGTCATAAGGCACGGTTGGGAGGGGGGCAGCAGTATCCATCCTAGGGAGGAAAATCAGGGAAATAAGAGCATAATAAGAGTCCTGGTGGATTAGATTTGGATTTTAATTTTTTAACTATTTTATTCTCAGTTTATATGCTTTGCCTTGTTGGTCACTTTGAGCACCCCCAGTCTTGAAGGTGAAAAGCAGACAGAAAATCCCCATACAAGCACACACACACACACACACACACACACACACACACACACGGGAAGAGAGGGAGGGGGAGAGAGGGGGCGGAGAGAGGCTGGTAACCATTTAGGAGACAGAATGCTGGACTGAATGGATCTTGCTATAATCCAGCAATGTGCTGATATATCTGTGAAAAACACATAGCCTGTAGAGAAGCAAGTCTGAAAACTATTGTAAGTACAGTGGTACCTCGGGTTACATACGCTTCCGGTTACAGACTCCACTAACCCAGAAATAGTACCTTGGGTTAAGAACTTTGCTTCTGGATGAGAACAGAAATCGTGCTCTGGCAGCGGGAGGCTCCATTAGCTAAAGTGGTACCTCAGGTTAAGAACAGTTTCGGGTTAAGAACGGACCTCCAGAATGAATTAAGTTCTTAACCTGGGGTACCACTGTACAGAAAAATAGGGGGTTGTATCTAACCAAGTTCTACTCAGCCACTGAAATTAATAGACCTTCGTCATCATGTCCATTAACTTAAAGGTGTCAGCTCTCTATCACAGTGCCTGTATACAACACTAGGTAGGAATGAAGAGAGAGGTAACAGTCTGAAGATATTTGGTAAGGGTGAAGACAGATGTTACATCACAAGGATGAAAACAAATGTAACATTCTAAGGTGGATTGGGTTTCCATGCACATCTGCTGTGAGTGTGTTTTCCAGACCATCAAAACCATTTCTACCACATTTAGGACACGTATGCCCGTCTTCTTGTTTAGCTGATCATTGAAATGTTTTATTCCCCAAGCCATGTGGAAAAGGATGTCCTGTATGTCAGCAGTTGGTTTGGAAAAGAAGAGAGGAATTCTTATCAGGCTCTATCTGGGAGGTTGCATGTGTGGAGAGAGAGAGAATGAGAGGAGACAGAATTGCTTTGCACTGCCCAGAAAGGAGCTTTAGATTACATATGAAGATAATCTTTTGAGCTGAGACAAAGAGCCCAGGACTGGAACACGTTCTCAAGGGAAAGTGTCGAGGTGCTTTTTTAAAAAAAGAGATATAAAGAAGGTGGACTTCAGGAGGAGCTAGGAAAGGAATAGGGCAGGGGTAGGCAAACTAAGGCCCGGAGGCCGGATGCGGCCCAGTCGCCTTCTCAATCCAGCCCATGGATGGTCCGAGAATCAGCATGGAATGTGTGCTTTTATTTAAAATGCATCCCTGGGTTATTTGTGGGGCATAGGAATTCCTTCATATATATTTTTTCAAAATATAGTCTGCCCCCCCAAAAGGTCTGAGGATCAGTGGACTGGCCCCCTGCTGAAAAAGTTTGCTGACCCCTGGAATAGGGGTTGCCATAGTGATCAGAAAAACAACAGCCTAGCCCATGCTCCTCTCCCTTTAACATAAGTTTGAGCTATAGAAGACAAAGCTTTTTAAAATCTAAACTGGCAACAACTGCTTCAAGTCAAACTGCTGATGTACAGCCAGCAGCTCTGGGGGTCAGCTGAAGAGTTTGCAGTCCAGAGAGAGTAAAATTCTTGAGGATTTCTAACAATGATCAAATGCTGAGTTGGTAGTTGCCAGTTTTTGAAGCTGCTGCTGTAGCAGACTGTATATTTTTATTTCCATGCATCACAAAACCTCCTCTGCTAAGTTCTACACATCCCACAGCCACTAAAAACACAAAGTAAAAGGACAGTTCCTCATTGGTCAATTGGCATCATTAATTGCGTAAAGTGGCCAGCTTTTTAAAGCTGCCTTTAACAGCTGTCCAGCAGACTGAACCAATAGGTGGAACGTCTTTGTGTCAATGAGATACAGAGATGGGGAATTGTGGCACCTGGGGAATTCCTGTCTTCTGGCTGAAAGAGTTCCTAGGGTTTTTTTAAAAAAAAATGAACCAGGCAGTATAACCACAATAAAAACACTAATTTTAAGTCAATCAAATGGCAAAAGTACAAAGCACAGCGACATTATAAGTTTAAAGCCCAGGAGACAGCATAAAAGCAGTAAATGCCTGATGTGTTTGTTTGTTTTTAAGTGTTTTAGCAGAGATGGAATTGGGTGGATTTCCCTGGGGGGTAGAATCCACAAGTGCCACAATCAACAAAGCCGAGCCCCTGAGTCCTGCTAATCAGATATTTACAAATATCTGAAACCAGAGTCCCCTGAAAAGCTGGAAATAAAGTCTAATCTAAACCTTTATAAATTTGCCGAACCTGAATATAGAATGTAATACACTTCTATATATTATCTATTTGTGCCATGAACAAAAATGAGACATCAGTTATTGTTCTTTTATCTCTGTGTCCGCCCACCCATCCTCCATCCCTCTGCCTTACTCCAGTCTATAGAGGTTTGTTTCCTTATAGTTATGACCTTACCTATTGCCAAAGAATTCAACACAGCTTTCATTTGAGGAAAGCCGCCTTGAGTTATTTGGCAAAAGGTGGAGTTACCATTACTACACCATAAAATCCAGCCCAACAACCTGCCCTGCTCCTCTACAAATAGTATTAACATTCGTATCAAATCTCTAAATACAAACTGACAATGTAAGGAAATAAAACACAGTCAGGGTAGCAGAAATCATAAAAGATCACTGAGGCACCTTGCATAGATTAAAGCACCTTGCATATATTCCTAAAAACTCTCCAGTTTGATTACAGGTTTTCTTTGTTGACTAAAAGACTGGCACGTTTAAAAGATCCCCTTCACTCGGCCTGCTCTTGAGCCTTTTCTGATCTGCTGAAATTGGCAGGCAACCCCTGTGTAGAATGGTCAACTGATGCAGACTGAGCTGCCGTGTGATACTGGTGGTAAGTTGGCAACCAATAACCCAAGATGAACAACGCCCCACGCAACCACACACACACACAAACCTCCCACCCCACAGCACCCCAACGCACAAGTCTGGCAAACAGCAACTCATTTCCAAATGTATACTCTGTAGGGTTGCCAATGAACCTGGGGGGAAACTGCTCCCATTTCTGCAGAAATGAGCTGGAGGGTTTTTTCATAACATGGAATAAACCTGATCACCTTGATGCACATCAGTAGCTGCAGAGGGAGATTCAAAGATTGGCAACCCTTAAAACTATTGAGCTTCCCCAAAGTAGCATCCCTTAAAAACATGCTTCCTTCCAGGGCGATCTGACCATAGCTGTCAACGTTTCCCTTTTGTAAGCGAAATTCTCTTATTCCGAATAGGATTCCTCGCAAGAAAAGGGAAAAGTTGACAGCTATGGATCTGACTGAGCCATTCACTCTGCTCCCCTCAAGATAATTCAACCGTTACCCCTTTCTTACCTCAAAAAAGAGTTTTGGTGGTAGTGTTCTTTTTTTAGTATTATTTCCCCATTCCTTCAGTGTGCCAGGCCTGCTCACGATCAATCCTTTGTTTCTGTCCTCCTTCCACTGCAAAATCCCCACCCCAAGTCTGTGTTCTTGGGGTCAGTTTGTCTCCTCTGCTGCCAGCCTGGCTGCTCAGGACCTCAAATTTGGTTCCCACCCCCACCCTCATTTATTTTAATGTCTATCAATGCAGGGACACGGATGATGGAATGATAAGGAGGCAATTAGAGAGTTCCTGTAACTTAGTAGGCACTGGAGAAACTTGGATGCAGGACACGGGACATGCACACAGCACATTGTACGCCTCAGGTACACACCCAGCCATTCAGAATGTGCTGTAAATAAATAAATGAACAGAACCCATTCAGTCACCTGTCATTTATATATGTGTGCGTGTGCGCAGGCACACATTATTAGGAAGGAACTCCTGATAAGCTTCCATGAATTCTCCAGGGGGGAAAAAACAGTTTGAAAACCACAGCTTTAGAAGACAGCCACATCCTCACAATACATTTAAAACACATGGCTTCACTCCCCTCGCCCAAATTCCTGGAAACTGTAGTTTACCCTTCGCAGAGAGACAGCTCGCGGCATCCTTACAAAACTACAGTTCCAAGGGTTCTGTGTACAGGTATGTGTGTGTGCGAAGCTATGTGCTTTCAGCGTGGTTTAAACGTATGAAGGAGATGTGACCTACATTCCTCGTTCCATGGAGCTCTGATGATGCAAGCCAGGTTTAATCTGAGCTGGATGGGAGAGAAATTTTAATTCAGTTCATATTTAAAGCCGAATTCATCCAATTTGCACTTTCTGAAACGAGAGGAGAACCAAAACACAGCCACCCTCCGAAATTCGCACTCATCCAAATTCTGCGATGTACCAGTAGTTCTCCAAACCAAACAATGCTTACCGAAACGCGTGTATTAGGGGGAAATGTGCATAAAATGCATATATTCATGAAAACAACAAACAAAAATGAATTATACTGGGAGAAATTGCTTGCAAATAGTCAAAACTGCATATACAAAGATGTGCTTATCGGGATAGAGTTGCACTAAAATCTGAATGATTTTCATGAGTATTATTTTTTAAAAATCACAAATTGCTGCACTAAACTGGAGTACAGTGGTACCTCGGGTTAAGAACTTAATTCGTTCTGGAAGTCTGTTCTTAACCTGAAACTGTTCTTAACCTGAAGCACCACTTTAGCTAATGGGGCCTCCCGCTGCCGCCGTGCCACCGCCGCACGATTTCTGTTCTCATCCTGAAGCAAAGTTCTTAACCCAAGGTACTATTTCTGGGTTAGCGGAGTCTGTAACCTGAAGCGCCTGTAACCTGAGGTACCACTGTACTGAATTTAAGGTTGGCGGGAAAAAGAAACTGAGACAACAAAAATTTGACAGATCCTTCCAGCCCCGCTAACCAGGACTCAGCCATAAGACTGTAGGTTAGTATGTGGAACACAGTATGTGAAAGAGCTCCAGAGCCCCTGCAAGGAAGATGATGAGACAACAGGTGAAGGCATAATCCTATCTCTCTGCCTGAGATCCGGACCTACAGAGTAGTTGGAGTGGTCAACACTGGGCCCCTAGATGGACAAAGAGTCTGACCACGTATACAGTAGCTTCCCAAGTTCCTGTACATGGTCTCTCTCATACCTCAAAGCTAAAGACTGCCCACCTTTACTGCACAACACTGTGGAGAGGCTGATATGAGAAGGGGTACCCTCTGTTCTAGAGTCAGGTCATCATCCTGGGCTCCGTCTCCATCTCTCATGTCATAACAAGGCCAAGAGGACTTATGGGTCCCTTCTGGACTACCTGCTTTTGAACATCTGTAGGGTTCCCATATTTTAAAAAGTAAAGACCAGGACACCCCAAAAATTGTTGTTTGTCCTGATTTGTTTACAGAAAGCTCATATGATGTTGGCTGTTAAATTATCATTCCTTTTTACCTGTTTGTGAGGAGATTAGCTGACAGTCGTATCAGAATAAGTGCCACCCTGCACTTTCCTTATCTGAAAAAGTCCGATCTTTCGGGGAAGCCAGTTTGTTGTACAAGACCTCCCAATCAACTATAACCACACAACCTGAATTTCCCAGGATGTGATCGAATCTGAGCCGGGGAAAAGTGATAGCCTAAGGAAGTGCCCCAAGGCAGAACACACACACTCTATACCTTTAAAGCACATTCTTACCCTTAAAGAACTAGGGTGTTGCAGTTTGCCCCTCAAGTAATTACCGTACAACTTCCAGAAACCCTTAACAAACTACAGTACCCAGAATTCTTTGAGGGGGGATTGTGCATTGAATGTGCTTTGAAGGTACACAGCCTAAGTCAGTTTCCAGGTGCTACTTTGCAGGACAATTCACTCTTTTGTTTCCTAGTGGTTCTACCTCACTTGCTCTAAAGCAGAAATAGAAATTCACTAAGGGGCCATCTTTTTTATGCTGCAAGCCTTCTCCCCGTTCCCTTTGTGAGGGGTTGAGGTTTTGGGGTGATCACTCTCTCTGTCTCTCCCTCCCCTCACACACAATTGAATCCTGACAAGATTAATTTTGACACTAATACTGCTTTACTGGCCGATCTGGATGGGCAAAGCGGATTGAACATATGGCTGAGGACAGCAAGGGACAGACAAATTAGCCATGGCCCATTGCAATTAGCCACCAGAGTGGGGTGGGTGGGTGTTATGAGGCGGTCAGAGACTATGTAACACCATTGGGAAAGGAGTGCTCCCTACTGGTTAGAGAAGGGGGGGGGGAGGCTGGGAACTAGGAATTCCTGGGGAGGAGTTTGACCTAAAGAATGAGAGAAATTAACATAAGACTGACTCTTCTTGAAAGAGGGAACACAAACAGCAGGTAGTGACCACAAGGAACACCAAGGTTTTCCAGGTGAGGCATTATGGGATAGGAGCCATAGGGAGCCACGACTTGAGTGGAAACCAAGAGTCTGAGAGCCCAACACTAGGCCTTTTTGTAGTCCTCTTGAGATCAATAGCCTGACAGGAAAAGGTGATTGAATCCCAAGGTATCTCCAGGCGGTTTCTACTTTCCAGTGGGATTCGGTCACATATAAGCAGATCCACTTTGTGGAATTAAGATCCCACTCTTATGCAACAGAACCACTTCCCCACTTGCAATAAGGGGGGCGGGATGCAGTGGTGAGATAACAGTTGCTCTAACACAACTTTGTCTAGCCTCCCAGCAGGCAAATAATGCTCAGTAAAACACCTCACCTGGAAGAGACAGCCAGGCATCATTATCCTGTGCTGGTGGTGTGCAGCTTTTGATAAGATTAAAAATCTGATTTTCAGGACCTGAACCTGTGGGTATTATTTCTGAGCTCCTTGGAGAATAAAGGTGGGATATAAATGTCATCAATCCATCAATGAACAGTCGGACCCAATAGTTCTTCATTGCACTTACTCATATAGTCTGCCAATATGTTTATTCCATTTACATCCAGCTTACCTTCAAAGAGCTCCATGCAATAACATTCCCCACTGCCATTTTATCCCCGCAACCCTATGAGCCAGGTTAGGCGGAGAAGTAGAGATGATTATCACCTAATATGTTTCACAAATGATAGGGGATTTGAATCCAGGTCTCTCTGAACTTTGTTCTGTATTCTAAACAGCACTATACCACCCTGGCTTTGTCTTATCCGTCCATCCCCCTACGTTGCTTTTTGTTTGTATTCACACACCCCTTTTGCTCTTGTCAACCTTTCCACACCCTCCCACTACTTTTGTCTATATTTATTAGAGCTCTGTTTTTAAATATACACTCCTTCTGATGCTTGCCCCCATCCTATCCAGGGGTTGCGTATGACACCTTCAGCACCAAAGTCTATCCAAACTTTCCCCCTGGATATACAGCTTATGCGAAATATAATAATGTTATATCGTATTGGATTAATGCTACGGTAGTTTACAATTAGAAATTTTAACATAGCATTTAAAAAGCTGACAATCATAGAAGTCTAAGACCATCTATCAATCAACTAAACCTAGCAATTGAAAGTAACTGCAATGTCCCTGCCAACTCTGCGAATCTATGGCTCTATGGCTTCTTCTTCTTCTTCTTCTTCTTCTTCTTCTTCTTCTTCTTCTTCTTCTTCTTCTTCTTCTTCTGCGATCACTCATAGCCAAGTAAGATTGTCTTCCATAAACATGGTTTTAACAATGAGTCCATAAGTGACTGTGGAGGCCAATTTTGGATCCACACGTCTTTCCACAGTGGGGACATTGGTTTCAGGGTGGGAGTTGATCACGGTGTGGATTTGCCAAGCGTGCCTTCCTCTTAGCACGTTTCTCCCTTGCATCCTAAGTTTGAGTGTCTTCAAAGCCCATGACACCTTTGGTAAAGGCTGTTCTCCAACTGGAGTGCTTGCAGACACGAGGAAAGGGTTGCCATATGTCCAGCCATAAGCAGTGTCTGGGCGGAAATCAAAAACATGTCTGGCAGTGTCGTTCTTTGCAATTTGCCAAAAAAGCAAAATTGAACTAAAAATTTAAAAAGCTCCACAACTCTTCACTTTTTGAATTAAGGCAACCCTACACTAGGAAGGAAGGGCTGTGGCTCAAGTAGCAGCACATCTACTTTACGTTCGGAAGGTCCTGGGTTCAATTTCCCAGTATGTCCAGGTAGGGATGGGAATGCCCCTTAATCTGAATTTTTGGAGAGCAGGTCCCAGTTAGTGTAAACAATACTAAACTAGATGGGTCAATGTAGTTTAGAGAAAAGGTGAGCAAGAAGGCAACATGGTAGAACTTTATAAAATTAAGCAAGAAAAGTTTTCCTCCCAGTTAAGATGTGGGGCTGCCTCCCACAGGAGCCACAATGGGCACCAACTTGAGTGACTTTCAGAAAGGAGGGGACAAAGGATTTACTAACCACAGGAGGGGAGAGGGCTCTTGCGCTCAGGTCCTGTGTAGCTGACCACTGGGAGACCAGGATGCTTGAACAGATGGGCCACTGGCCTGATCCAGCAGGCTGTTGTGTTCTTACGACCCACTTGAGGGCAAGAATTCTATAACCCAGATGCCACAGTGGGAAAGGCTGTGCTCCTAGGGGAGCTGAAAGATGGTACCTGGATTAGGGCCTCATTAGCCTGTGGCAGGTAAAGCTTGGGGTGGGGGCAGAGGGACACTCACAAGGGAGATGTTCCCTGAGATGTTCAGGACCCAGATCATGATAAGTGTCTATCCCGCTGCCTTTCAGATAGTGCTTGGGTCTGAAATCTGGGTGTGCCTTTTTGCAGTTCAGAGTGTGCCTTTGCCTTGATGGAGAAGATAATAATAATAATAATAATAATAATAATAATAATAATAATGGCTGCCTTTCTCCTCTCCACCTGCTTGAAAGCTATTCAACCAAGAAACTAGGGGCACTTCCAGACTGCCCCTTTTCCAGGTGGGATTTGATCACATGCCAGCAAATCCAGGCTGCTCAATTATAAATTTGATCATATGCCAGCAAATTCAAGTTGTGCAATTGATTGGGAGGTCTTACACAACAAACCCACTTCGCCTGAAAGACTGGACTTTTTGCAGTAAGAAAAGTGAGGGGGAAATGCACTGGAAAATGTGGGGGTGGTGTTTGTATTGATGGAACCTCAGCTAACCTCCCCACAAGCAAATCAGAACAAATGCTCATTAAATAGCTGACGTCGTCTAATCTTCCTGCAAACAAATCAGGATGAAGCACCTTGCAGAGAAACAGAGCACTCTGCTCTTCTATATAATAAATGATCAGGGTGGGAAGAGGTGGCTTAACTTGGGCTTGCAAATAACCACTCCTTCCTTCCCCAATAATTATAATAGGAAAGTTAGGTACATACTTAACAGTGCAACCCTATGCACTGGCTTACTTTGCAAAAGCTTGCTTTGACTTCAGTCCCACTGTGTGTGGGGTTTTTTTGGGGGGGGCTACTCCCAGCTACATTTGCATATGATTGAAACCTAGCTCCCTCCCATTATTTGGCCTTTGTGTCTTTCTGTCTGGTTGATGGTTTATTGATCTATGCTCTATCTGTCTGTCTATCTAAAGTCTATCTATATACCATCAGTCTACATGGTGTGTTTTAGCACCAGCAGTGGGGAATATTGCAGGAGGATGGAAGTGTCAACAGAGCAACGGCTGTGTCTTCTGTCCATCCGTCAATCACAAGTCCGTATGCTGCTTCTGGCCATGGTTTTGTTCTTCCCAACACCCCTCTCCTCCCGCATCCTCTCTCCCCAGTCACTCTCCAGGCTTGCACATGGTCGGAAACAGCACTGAGCAAGGCATTAAGAGGAGGGAGGCCAGGAGGGCAATCAAGAAGGAGGGAGCAAGAAAGGCCCATGATGCCTAAATCCGATTTGCCTTGCGTTAAAGAGCTTGGGGGCAAATGTGATCAGTGCAACCAAAATAGCCCCTCTCTTTGTGTGTATAATGTGTGTGTGTGTGTGTGCACGCATGCACACTCACAGCCACCAGGTGTGGCAAGCGCAGGTCTCCGTGGTCCTCTCAACCCTCTTCCCCCGCCTCAGGGAGTCTATATAAGAAGGTGCCGAGGTACCAGCCATTCCACTAGCTCTGTTGAAACAGGACGAGGCGGACGAGCTCGGAGCATTGGCGGTGCGGGGTGAGCGTACAGCCAAACCATGGGCAATAGTAAGAGTGGGGCCCTCTCCAAGGAGATCCTTGAAGACCTGAAGCTGAACACCAAGTACTCGGAGGACGAGCTGTGTAAATGGTACGAGAGCTTCCAGAAGCAGTGCCCGGACGGGCGCATCAGCAGGTCCGAGTTCGAGAAGATCTATGCCCAGTTCTTCCCCAACTCTGACCCCAAGGTGTATGCCCGGCACGTCTTCCGAAGCTTCGACACCAACGATGATGGGACCCTCGACTTCCGGGAGTACATCATTGCCCTCCACCTCACCTCCACCGGCAAGACCAACCTTAAACTAGAGTGGGCTTTCTCGCTCTTTGACGTGGACCGCAATGGAGAAATCAGCAAGAACGAGGTTCTTGAGATCGTCACGGTGAGTGAGGAAGGCGTGTGGGGCGAGACATAGGGGGGGCTTTGGGAGGGGGCTTGTAGGCGGGGGGTGGGGACGACAACAAGGGAATACAGGGAAGACCCAGGCTGAGAGCTTCCCCACTGCAAGACCAGATGCACTGAAACTGGTTGTGGAATTACATGGGGGGAATATTCCCTTTTCACACATAATATGTTTGGAGACAAGGCCACGGAAGTCTACCTGAAGGAACTACTGCACTGAAATCCTTATTGAGGTTTTGGTTTTATTTTTCCGGTCCCCTGCTTGGATCATTTTGGTCCCGTCTAGCCTTGCATCAGGCCTACTCTTGGTCAGAAAAACAGGGCCTTACCTATCCCAGCACTCCATTCACCCCAAACCTGCTGCAGTCGATGGAAATTTATAAGAGTGTCTACCCTTCTTCCACCCATTCATGGACCCATCTAGCTGAGCTCCAGGCTCTCTCTTCCCTCAATCATCTCTAGCCTCCTTCGCCCTGTCCCCCAACATGGAAACATATCCTGTGTTCCCATGGCAGGTGCCTCACATGTTGAAACTCATGGCTGCACCAGTTAAAGAGGGGAGCAGGAATGGCTGGTCATGTGACTTTCTCTTGACCCACCTTGAGGTGATGGGATGACAACGGATTACTTTAGCTGAAGGCTTTGCATTGTGTCAAAATAGAATTAGCCTTGCCCAGTGGCAGGGGAAATCCTGTTACATTCCTTTAACAGGATGAGCTGGATTGGCAGCAGAGTAAACAGGTTCAAATCCTCTCCTAATTTTATCTCATGGCCTCAGCTGCCCTCAGCAGGTTCATACCTGCAAGCAAATGTTCATCTTTTAAGGAAGATAGGAAGCCATTTTCACATATATATTTTTTGAGCAGGGAGGGAAATACATATGTATCTATTTCTTAAAACCCCAGAATTGCACCCTCAGGTCCAGAATCAAATCTAAACACATCTGTATTACAAAATACTGTATAAACTAGTTTGAAGCAAGTTTAACCATCATGGCTTCCCACAAAGGTGGCTGGGAATTCTAATTTTGCAGGTGCGTTAACAATACTGTATTTACCAGAGCGGGGATTACAGTTTCCTTTATTCAGTTTGTGGTGGGATCCATAACATGTTAAACAGGCCTGAAATGGATAAAATTTGGAGTGTAGGCAAGTATTTGGATGCTGCTATTCCCATAGCGAGGAAATTCCTTTTTCAGAAAAACTGTTAAATTGAGAGCCAACTGAAAAGTGGCTGCCTTGCATTAGAAGATGCCAAGGTGCCCATACAAATTTGGCACCTCTGAGATTTCACAGAGCTGTGCGCAGTATGTAACCCATATGTAACCCATAATTCCTTGCTGCCAGCCTTCCTCCGCTGATCTAGGCTCCCCCTGCAGATGTGTTTGCCACAAACCTTGGAAGAAGGGCAGAGCAATCTGAGATTAAAGTTGGATTAGGCAGGGTTAAATCCCTGACCCTCTCAGTGCAGTATTTGCCTCGCTTCAACTGTCTTGTCCGGAGGAATAGCTTCCACCGACCTTGGAAAGGGGAGACAAGGAGCAGAAAAGTCTGTCTGGGGAGAGGTTTGGAGGAGATCTCAGCAAGGGCTGAAGAATTTCATACGGTATTTGAAAGGGATGGCAACGGTGCAGATGTTTGTACAACAAATCCCACCAGCTGGCTGGGGAAGCTGGTGCAGAGATATCCCATTCCTCACTCCAAGAACCCAAAAGTCCTGGTTCGTAAACGCTATGGGGTATTGGTGTTGGTTTTCAGAGGCTTACTTGTTTAGGGAATTCTGAATGACCTTTCCACAAGAATTATGTGCTCCAGATCCATCCACATTCCAGCTTGTTTTGTGGGGAAAGTAAATAAATAAATTACCAGCGAATGGATCCTTTCCTCTTCCAGAGTACCAAAAACACTGTCATAACCCTTTCCTCTCCAGGTTGGGCTGTGGGGTTTTTGTGTGTGGATGTATTTTGCAACATGTCATTGATGCAACCATAGCACATTGGTGGTGAATTTATACTGGATCAACTCTGCACACCATCCCACTTTATTCATTGTTCTGAAATCAGGGTTGGACTCTGGTAATACGGCATTCCGAGCGATGACAAAATTTGGCACCCTCCCCAAAATATTTCTTATTTTCACATGAATTCCTTTCGGTAACAGTAGCTTTTTATGGATCTTCTCAGTAGGTATCTGTAGAAATATAGGCATTATTATTATTATTATTATTATTATTATTATTATTATTATTTTGTGCCCCCTCGTCTTGGTGCCCTGTGCGGGAGAACCACCCACATCACCCTAAATCCAGCACTGCTGCAATGCCTCCGCAGGGTTAGCTCATGACTGCTGTCTGGAGAAGCACCCCTTCGCACTGTAGCACAATGAAAACGCCCCTCCCAACAACAGGGCATTTGCGGTAAAATAAGTTACAGGATTTCAGCAGGACATGCAATGATTGGATACAAAGCAGTATGTCCACCATGAAACTTTTGCAGCCGCAAAGCATATTGAAAGCAGGGCCACAACATACCTGCCACAATACCAACAGGAGCACAGATAAGCATAAATACTCAATAGAAAGGAAGTCTGTGGAGGCCCTAAATTAGTGTTGCCACATGTTTTTCCTTAGCCAGGCTCCTGTGTTATTAACAGCTGTGTGAAACACCGGGAGTTTCCTTTCCTATGTGTGCTGCATGGATGGAGAGAGAAATCTGCATTTTGTTTCCAAACAGAGTAAGAGTTCCATCCATGTACACTAACTTCGTTTTCCCTCCATTTCTGTGGTACATTAATTCATTTCCCTATTTCTTCGGGTTGCCTCTCTTAGACTTCTTGGTCTTCAACGCTATCTGTCACTCTTGAGCAAAACTTCGTACTGAAATCCAGTGAGCAGATCACAGACCCCTTGTAAGCTAGCATTAGCAAACAGGTCTCCCAGGAAGAAGGGCCACCACATAAACATGTCTCCTGTCCTAAGTATGTCCATCCGTTTATAGATTAGTAAAGAAAGGCTTCCTTTGTTTGGTCATTCCTGTAACAACCTTGTGTGAGGGAAGTCACGATTATTGGAATAGCACAGGTAGGGTAAACGGAGGCTGAGAGAAAAGGAGAAGTTGGAATATGACCTAGCGGGCTGTCGTTGTTTCTTCAGGTGCGATTCGGGTTGTCTGATTATAGTTGATTAGGAGGTTTTGCACAACGAACGGCTACCCCCATGATCTGACTTTTTGCCATAAGGAAAGTGAGGGGGGAATGGTTTGATGCAATGTCAAGTAACCTCCCCACTCAATAAATGAATGAACACTCGAAAAGTGGGTTGACTGGAAGCAACCCTTAGTTACTAGCCCAAATCCTTCTTAGGGGGTTGTTATGTACTGAAGTTCCCACTTTGGCCCTGCAGGGAGATACTGTAGATAGTTCAGGTCCACATATGCAAATAAGGGATCGAAAGTGACGTTCAGTGATTGGATAGTTACAGAAAATGGTTACTGTTGCGTTCTAGTGGAGCTCTATATAAGCAGGCTGGCTGAACCCTTCAGTTCAGTTCTGTTCTGGCCTGTGAATAAACAAGAGCTGTTTGAAGAATCGCTATGTCGTCTGATATGTTCACCCACAATTTAACAGGGGTGGTAAAAAATAAACTAGAAAGGGGAGGGACAGAGGGACGGATGGACAGACACACAGACAGACACACACACACCCTTCCTGAAGACCCAAATATACTGCAGAGTGAGATGGACTGCAGGTGTGGAAAGTCATTCTTGAAAAGGGACAGGTACCCTTTTTGTTTGCTGTACGTCATCAAAGTGACTGGAGATTGAAAGCAAAGTAGGAGGTGTACATGCAACTTAGGGCTCATTGTGTTTTATTTTCTCCCTCAGCCTGAGGGATTCCCTACTGCCACCATTACACTCAATTTATCAGGTATATCAGATAGCAAACAAATCAGGGATTCAGTCGCCTGAAGGGCCGGCTCTACCATCAGGCTGACTGAGGAGGCTTATTTGGGGTATAATGAAAGCACAGTAAACTGTTAGCTATTTAAATAGTTGTTGTATTTTTACCGCCAAGGAGAGCGAGAGGCACATGTGGGATTTTCTGCCTCAAGTGCTAAAAACCATTTGATTTGGGGGCAGGTTTGCCATTTGCTCATTTACCTCATGGCTGAGGCTGGCAGTGCACCATTTCCAAGCAAGTGCACCAGGCAAGCCATACACTTAAAAAAAGAAAAGACAAGAAGTAGTAGCAAAAACACATTTATTCAATTAAATGTAGTTTGTCTTGTGTCACTTCCACAGCAAACTTTCTGCTAAAATTATATGCGTCTGAATCTTACCAGAGATGGTGCTATATCAACAGAAGTTGTACAAGTCAAAGTGCTGAATACATCTACGATTTGTTACTTGTGTGAAATTTACCATCTTCCACTGGAATTTAGCTTCCTATGAGAAAATATGGACAAATTTTGTTCATAATAAGTGCTATAATTTTGGACAAAGCCTGCCAAATCTCCATTCTGTTACTGAAAGGGGCAGGGGACCTTTCCTTCCCCACAAGCAGCCACTGTGGTCAGCCAATTTCTGGTTCACCCATGCAAACGTTTAGCATTATGGGGAATGCCAACTCCTCACTGCCATGTCTCGACATGTGTCACGATGGCAGCTAACAGGCTTTCCAGGCATTCAGTTGAGAGATGAGGTGATGAGAGTCTAGCTCAACATACATCAGAAACAAGGCAGCACATTCACCATGCTCAGAAATCAGCATCTTATATCAATCATTCATTTTTACTGGGCAGTCAATACTGATTTGCTTGTGCAAAGCTAACACGGTGGTTAGATTATATCCAGTCTTTATTGAGCATTTATGCTGATTTGGCTGCAGGGCAGTTATATGCCAGTAAGCATTCATCTGTGTTCGCTTGCAGGGCATTTATCTGTCTTTCCACTGGGCACCTGTTCATACATTTCAATGCATTTCTGTCACTTTCCATACATCCAAAAGCTTGATTCTTTTTCTTTTTTTAAGTGGATTTCTTGTGGGCAAGGGCCACAGAACCCTTTAATCCATTTTAATTGTGGAAACCAAAAGTTATGCTATGCCCGTGAATCCCTCCTGAAAGAAACAGCCCTCAGGCCAATGTCAAAATAAAGCCGAGGCAATTTGTTTATTATGCACCGTCTCTCCCCCCCCCCCCCGCTCAGCTGATCAAAGGATGCTGGCAAAATTAGCAGGACAAATGGCTTAGGTAGAAAAGGAAAAAAATGTGGTTTGGTGGTAAGGTGGCTGATGGGGAAGTTTGTAAACCAGGGATGGGAAAGCTGTGGCATGCTTTTTGAAGGCAGGTGTCTAGTCCTCAAGGAAGGCAATGGAAGGAAACAAACAGGCAACATTCAAAGGCCAGGTTGTGATCTGTTCTGGGTTTTACACTTCCTCAGAATGAAAAGGCATGGATTAACAGTTATGGGAAAGAAGGGAAACTGGACAATATTTTGCCATAATGCTGAGACGGTTACTATAAAATGCTCTTTCATTCTACATGGGACTCACTGGTGATATGGAAAATTCTACCTGTAGGGACTCTTCATGACAGCCGCTTCAACCCTGCCCCTTCTAGGACCATATAACAAAGATGGGCTTGCTGTTTTTTACCAGTGCGAACCTTGTAGCTTCAATGTGAAGTCAGCTTTTCCCCCTCACACCTTTCCTGCTTTGCCTTGGCATCCAGCTTGATGGCCATTTCTGGGGGACTGGAGAGCTTGCTCCCTGTTTTGTGACCTTTTAGGCTTCTGTTGGTTTGCTTATTGCTGCAATTGGTTTTAATGCTTATACTGTGTTGTAAAACGCTCTGAGTCACTTTAGTGAGTAAAGCGACTAATAAGTATAAAAAAATAATGTGATGCTGGCTGGGCTGATGAAAGCTGGAGTCCTCATTGCTCTTATAGACAATAGCAGCCTTGGAATCCACAGGAGGCTGTGAAGGGCAATGAAAACTCTCTGACCCCTTGGAAGCAGCTCTGGCCAGTCCTTTTCTGTCTTTGGAGCATTCACTAGCCACACTGAAATATTTCCCGGCAGTTTCTTTCAGCAGGAAGACTAGAAGCTTAGAAACTTGCTGTGTTTAATAAGGTATGCATGGGGAGAAAGCTTCTCACATATGTCCAATTCAGTAGATTGATTTTGTTTTTTTAATTCACTACACATATACAGTATCCTACATTTAACCTCACTAGACACCCCCAAGAGAATGGAGTTATGGAGTTAAAAATAAAATAGCAGCTGCTATTAACTTCTTAAAGGTGCAATATGATTTACAATCCTTGTTTGCTTTTACAAGAAACGTGTGCGAAACAGGCACATGGGATACTTCCACTTTGCAGATGGGAAAATAAGGGGTGGTATTCATTGAAGTTTTACTTAGAGTAGACCCTTTGAAATTAATGGACCTAACTTAGTTGTGACCATTCATTTCAATGGGTCTAGTCTCAGTAAAATTTGGTTGAATACCACCCAAGGCTCCACAAAGAATGATCAGCCTTAGTGTATTCAGTTTTAGCCCTGCACACATTGCACTGCCCAGGGTTATCAATAGATTAGTTTCTGTGCAAGAGACCTGTGTCTACTACTGTGAAATTAAAGCTGGGATTCTCAGCTGTCTCCCGAAGTGGCCCGATTTTACATTAGAAGCCTTATTCTCTGCTTCCATTATGTAACAGGAAATGTCTAGACTCCAGATAGGCTGCTGCTTATAACATTTCCTTCATGCCACCAGCAGACTCACATATTTGCCTGCAAGTCAAGGATGTCAAGTCAGTAGTATTGCATGCCATCCTGATCTCTGAGCAGGGCAAGATTCCAGGCGCTCACACAGAGTTTGTGTTTCCTTTTGGAAATGAAGCACAGTGGAGATGGCAGTGTCTTGATGACATATGGTTCATTTACTTATATACAGAACCTGAATTTAGGATGGAGGGGTTCACAGCATTTACACGCCAAATGGGTCTTGCTTCTTCCATAGAAGCAAGCCCTAAATTCACGAAGACATCAAACGTTGCTCTCTAATGTTGTTCTCCTCCTCTCTCTCCAGCTTGCTGCTTTCCTTCTCAGTGACATCACTCCTTCCCTCTCTACTCTAAACCCTGCCTTTATCTGTTGCTGGAGGGGACCCCCATTCATTTGCCATCTAGCACAAGCCCTTTCATCCCTTGTTCTCTTAATAACCCAGGAGGCTAGCCTGCCTTAATTCACTTTTAACACTTGCTGAATCCAGGGATTAGAAGTGGCTAGCACCCACAAACTCATAACAGTATGTTCCACCTCCTTTCCCACTGGGGAAATAGCCACCAGAATGAACCACAGAAAAACGAAGTGCATCATTTAGGCTCCAGAAACTGATAACTGGAACTTTGGCTCCAAGTGGATTGAGGGAGTGGGCCTTACCTGGTTATCCCTGACACCCTGCTCAAAGCACAAGGGTGTAGACTTTGCGCGAGCAGACAAGTACCTTTGCAACGGAAACTCCCTTCGTCAACTATCACCATTCAATGAGGATACCTGAACTGATGTTTATTTTAAACCCCTGAGCTTGCTTTCTCTCGTATTTCTGCCCTCCCCATCTCTTTTACTTTGTGTGTAATGTCTTTTAGACTGTACACCCAAAACCAGGGACCATCTTCTGGTTTTTGTTAAGCCAAGAGTTCTGGGAACCTTTTCCGGCTTGCAAGGGTAAAGATGCTTTATATATATATATATATATATATATATATATATATATATATATGGCACCCTGTCCTGCACGAGAAGGGTTGTATCCAGCCACGTCCTGCTCAGAGTAGGCCCAATGAGTGGTTGCGTTATGATCTTTCCCCCTTTTGTTCCAACAGGCCATATTTAAGATGATTCCTCCAGAAGAGCAGAAAACCCTGGCTGATGATGAAAACACCCCCCAGAAACGGGCCAACAAGCTGTGGGCATATTTCGGCAAGGGAGAAACAGGTAGCGACCTTCCTTCATGCTACTAAGTCTGTAACACACTTTTTCTTGCCACAAGAGGGCAGGGTGGGGGGTGATTACCGTATTTTTCGCACCGTAGGGCGCACCGGACCATAGGGCGCACCCAGTTTTTAGGGGGGGAAATCAAGAAAAAAAATCTTTTTTCCCCCCCAGCCCCAAAGAGCAGCGTACAGGCTGCGCACAACCTCTCCCTGCCGGAGGGGTTGCGCGCAGCTATGGAAGAAGCCAAGGCAGCGGGCGGGATAGACCCCGCTCGCTGTTTTGGCTTCCCCTTTAGCCCCGTGCAGCCTCTCCTTGCCGGGAGATGCTGCGCAGGGCTTTCCTGGCTTTACTGGGAGGTGGGGGGATTCCCTCACCTCTCCCAAAAGCCCGCAGAAGCCGCACAACTCCTCTAAAGAGATCGCGGCTTCTCCTGGCTTTTCTGGGAGGTGGGAGAAGGGACTGATGCGGCCAGTCAGTCCCTTCTCCCTCCTGTGGAAAAGCCCGCAAGAGCGCACGGAGCTTGTGTGCGGCTCTTGGGGGCTTTCCCCGCCTGCCTCCCCCCTGCATTCGCTCCATAAAAAGCAAGGGAAAATGTGTGTGCGTCCTATGGTGCGAAAAATACGGTATTTTATCCCTATATGAACACATGGGGTTGGATCCAGAGCCTCTCAGTGGGCTAGAATGATTTTAAATGGCTGTAGCTCAGCACTAGAGCACAGGCTTTCATGAAGCACCACTGAGTATGGAGAGAGGTGGCCCAGTGGTCTTTGGCAAGAGTTACACTTGGGTCCCATTGAAATCAGTGGGACAAGCTAGTCCCAACTTGTGCAATTAACTTTGCTTGGATCCAGCCCACTGTTATTGACCTCTTTCTCAGTTAGCATTATATACCGTATTTTTTGCTCTATAAGACTCACTTTTTCCATCCCAAAAAGTAAGGGGAAATGTGTGTGCGTCTTATGGAGCGAATACAGGCTGCGCAGCTATCCCAGAAGCCAGAACAGCAAGAGGGATTGCTGCTTTCACTGTGCAGCGATCCCTCTTGCTGTTCTGGCTTCTGAGATTCAGAGTATTATTTTTTCTTGTTTTCCTCCTCCAAAAACTAGGTGCGTCTTATAGTCTGGTGCGTCTTATAGAGCGAAAAATACGGTATATATGTCTCAGAACCTTCAGTCCTTCACTGGTGTTTGACCTTGAAGAAGCCCAAGATTTACAAGAATACCAAAAAATATTTAGGGGGAAACAGCTAATGGGTGTAAACCCAAAACAGCTCAATGAGGAGTGAATGTGGCACCTTTGTTTTCATGTGTCCGCACATCTATTTGTGTGCAGTGCATGAGAGCATTAGAAACAGGATGAATCCACTGCCACATGCAAACTTATAGAGATTTATGTTCTGTAGACTGGGGACGAGGCTGAAACTTTAAAAAGCAGTAAAGCTATCAACTCACATAAAGTTTTTAACAAGGCATTCACACGCAAGTTGGGGGGGGGAATGACAAAATAAGGAGAAATATCACAGAACAAAGATAGACAACTACTTCACTGGTGCTATAAATAGAAGAATATTAGTTGCGCGCACACAGTGTTCCTCTTTAGACCTGGTCCTTCCACACAGTATAGCTCACCTTGTGGAGACAAAAGTAAATGCCATTTGCCTGATGGCCTTTGACAAAGGAGAAATAATCCTCAAGGCAACCATAAAAGGAGATTTCAGAAACTTGAAGGGAAACATTTTCTTCCAGGCCTCTGGTGTGCCTACAAATCACTAACTACTTATGCAATTAAGCAGCCTTGCAAAAGAGAGAGGGGTGGGGTGGGGACATACCTTCGAAATATAGCACCTGTAATGTATTTATTATCAATTAAATATCTGGCCTGTGGCCCCTTTAAGAGAAACAGCGACAACCCAGGAGTCCAGCTCCTGGAGAGCTGAATCAGAACTATGGTGTGGCAGGGCCTCATCAAGAATAAAAGTTTGATTTACTGTTAACTCAGCTTGCGGTGAGTTCCTATATAAATCGCAGAAGGCATTACAGCACTCATCATTAACATATATGCACATCATATGGGGGGAAAGTATACTCCCCTTGCAAGTTGTTGCAAGGATTACGGCACAAGATTGCCTGCAGATTACAAATGCTCTTAATTCTGAGGATAGGGAAACCAAGGTGCCATACAAATCCAAAGCATTATTAACAACTTTTGTGGACTGCCATTTTTGCATGGATGTCCAAAATATAAACAAATGAGTGTGCTGCTAAAGAACTTCACACACACACACACACACACACACACACGCACACACACACACACTGTACCCATCTCTTCCTCAAAAATCAGGCGCCCCAATTGGGGAAAAGCCCGGCGGGGGGGGAAGAGGTTCACAATCTCCCCCAGTTCACCCCACCCCTTGCCGCCTCAGCTCATCCGTTTGCTTCTTTTGTGTGTAATTCTACCGTTCACATTTTACATGCATGCGTTGTTTTTCCTTCTCCTTTTGCAGACAAGCTTGCTGAAAAGGAGTTTATTGAAGGGGTGATGAAGAACGATGCAATAATGAAGCTCATCCAGTACGAACCAAAGAAAAAATAAGGGGTTGGGGGTTGGAGGAGGAGGAGAAAACACAGAGATGTAAGAATAAATGTACGCATGATGGGGAAGATGGGGACACTGAACACCCCTAACCGTGTGTGTGTGTGTGTGTGTGTGTGTGTGTGTGTGTGAACATGCAAAAGTACAACTACAAAAATAAGTTTGTGCCCCTTTCAATACAATCCCTACTAGCCCACTTCTTTAATTTACTGGGATTTTTCCAATGGGGGATGTAGGCTTGGCAGCCATAAGAACCATTTACCTTAGCAGGTATTTTTGTTTTGTTTTTTTAAAAGTAGTAGTAGTAAAGAGTTGAGGAGGGACAGAAACAAACAAGGAAAGGAAACTGGGGGAAATAAGAGAAAAAGGATGAGGACCTAGATTCGAGCAGACAGACCCAGGCTCAAATCTCCACTTAGCCATGAAGCTCAGTGACAAAATGCGAAAACCTTACAGAGGTCACGCTGTGCTCCCTGGGGGCTGAGATACAAAGCTAATAAATAAAAGGATCGACAGTAGAGGCCTCTTGAGACCAGAAATAACCTGTTAAAAGCAATCTAGGTTTTCCAACCCAAAGGCTGCATTATATCAATGGCAAAAATGGATGGAAGAAATGGGAATTTTGGCTTTGTGCAGTGGGGCAGTTTCCACACAGACTTACACCCCTCTCTATCTTCCATCCAGGCAAGGAAGAGGCATTGTCAGGGTTCAAAAACACACCTGAGTCAGGCAAACAGTCAAGGAGGGTGTGACATGAGACAGGTGAGGGGGTGTGACCTGGAGAAAGAGGGTGTGATCTAGGGAAAGTCCTAAGGGCCGGGGGGGGGGTTGGAGGGCCACATTTGGCCCTCAGTTCCCCATCCCTCACCTTTAAAAAGAAAAATAGGGAGGAAGACCAAAACAGGTGCCCTGATTTCTGTACTATGAAACCCCATTCCCCTCTCTCAAAGGATCCTGGGTAATCACCCAGTACCACTCTGTTCTCTCTGCTACTCATCATTTAGGAGTCCTGCCTGTCAGTTGGCTCACTAGCTCCCAGTTCGTAAATCTCATCCAGAATCAACTTCTGAGATTCTCTGTGGGGAAGCCATGACGGATGAAAAGAGTGTAAAAACAGCTAAACATGTAGCACAGGTGTCTCTTTAGCTGCCAGCTTCCCCTGGCTCACAGCTGTTTGTTAACATATCCCACTATATTTCAAGAGGACGGGGGGGGGGGTGACTTGCAGGCCCTGATAATAAACATACTTACTTGGAAGCAAATACCACACTGAACTCTATGGGACTTGCTTCCAGGTGAGCAGGCTTGGAACTGCAGTTTCCCTGGATTGGGGTCACTGAGCCTGCATTTTTGTCGTCTGAAAGGTTAGCCCAGGATGGCTACTACAGCGTTTAATCAGCACATTCACCCTTGTTTCCTCTGCTCCTGTTGAAGGTTAACATTTTCTCAGTCCATATCCCGCCTTTCCCAAAAGTATATTTAAAATGTAAACCTTACAAATCCCGCCCCCCCACCTCCCCCTCTGCTTGTTCCGGAGGAGAGGGCTGGGTGGGCTAACAGAGATATCTAGAGTTGGCATCATTTCTAGAAGTGGACTTTTATGCATCTCTGTTGATTTCCTTCCTCTGACACTAGAATATTTCATTTCTTCAAAAGAAGGGGGGGTAACTTTCTAGGGAGCGGGTGGCAGGTAGTTAATTTACTAACGGGGGAACGTGTTTAAATTTATGTACTGTGTCTGTTTTTCAATAAAGGACATTGTGTGAAACATACTTTGCCACAAGTAGTATGTTCAAATATATCTAAGTTGTGGGGAGCAGGGATTTACCGGGATCAATGAAAAACATATGGTGCTGTTCCAAGCTCTCCAGAGGGCAATGGAGATCACCGGGCCTGAGAACTGTCTTACAAGATACATGAGAAGATAAGAATAGGTTTTCTGGATCAGATCAAAAGTCCAACTAGTCCATCACACAGTGGCCAACCAGAAGTTTCTGGAAGCCCACAGGCAAGCAGGCAGGAAGACAATAGCCCCCACTTTACTTAAGAGCCCAGCAACTCAGAGGTCACCTACCTTTGATAACTGAAAGACAGACAGACAAATAGTCATCATGACTAGTAGCTATTGAAAGCCTTATGCTGCATGAATTTATCCCATCAACTTTAAAGCTAAACTGGCAGTGGTGACTGCTACATCTTGTTGCAGAGACTTGCTTCTTTTTGTCGCTCCTGAATCTCCCAACGGTTCAGCTTCCATTGGATTACCCCAGCTTCTAGCAGAGAGGAAGAAAAAACCGTCCGCAACAAGCTCCTTGAACCTCACAGCCTGATGTTCCCTGTGTACATGGATTGCTGACAGGCCTCTGGCTACACACTTGAAATCGTTCCTCAGCACATTCTAGGGATTTTCATTATAGGGGCTTCTCCACCCCAGAACAGACCTCCAGCGTCAATAAGGCATTAGTTGTCTCAAGCAATTCTGCAGCTGAAGCTGTTCCCCAATATTGCCAACACCAGAGGGCAGGAAAATTTTCCCCTTCTAAACATATACAGTAGTAGCTTGGTTTACGAACTTAATCTGTTCCGGAAGTCTGTTTTAAAACCAAAGCGTTCTTAAACCAAGGTGTGCTTTCCCATAGCAGCGGGGGGACTCAATTTACAAATGGAACATACTCCACAGGAAGCAGAACATGTTGTGCTTCCAAGGCAAAGTTGACAAACCAAAACACCTACTTCAGGGTTTGCAGTGTTCTTAATCCAAGTTGTTCATAAGCTAAGCTGTTCTTAAACCAAGGTACCACTGTACTTGGCACATAGCTGGTAAAGGCACACCAGAAAAGTACCAAATCCCAATTCTCTAGCTCCCCTTACTCCTATTTTCAGAGAACTCAGGTCTTGGCATCCATCTTCTCCCCTGCCCACTTTAACCCTGCAGACACTGGCTTCCAGGATCCCTTTAGGTTGCCATTTAAAAAAGAAAAAGCCCTTCCATACACGACACAGCGGAATTTAGTACATTGTGCTTTTCCTAGCAGGGAGGTGCTAGGACAACTTTCACCTGCAAATGCCACCTTCTCTTCTGCCTTCTGTTAAATGTGCAGGAGCAGGCCGCTAAAACAAGGCACACCCATCAAGTTGCCATTAGACTCCTCTCTCTTTTTAAGCCCTCCTAGCTGAACGCACAGGATATAGCTTTGCCTGTTGGATTTCTGTCTTAAATCACTCATTAAAAGCCTTGGGATGATGTCTAGGAGCAATGTTGGCCTAGGAAACGCAAAAGTCCAGGTTTTCCTTGTCTTTCATTCTTGGAGAAGGCCAAGCCAAAGCACCGACATTTACTCCAACAGGGACATTGAAAACCATCTCCTGAGAAACTATTTCCGATGCCAGACAAGTAAGCTTTTCTTTTTCCCCTCAGAGAGAAATCCACTAAATAAGGTAAGCAGAGGGAAAGGGGAGGTCACATAGCCCCCACAGCTATGTGTCCAACTACCAATTTTATTGGGGGGTGGGAATCCAAAATCCCTTCATGACGACCGACCCAAACATAACAAAATAGTGAGAAGCTTCTGCGTCCACACAATTCATCAGGCTGGATGTTTAGCAAGGCAAAAGTGGGATGAGGTAAAACAGCTGGCTTGCTATTGCAGCTGTAATGCCTGCATGGGTCCCAAGTTCATTTGTGTTGTATAATCTTAAGAGGAGGGTTGTGGCCTGTGAAGAGTGCCTGCCGACAGAATTTACCACTACAACAACAGTGCTTCTAACTCAATTTGTTCCTTCCAGAGCTTTACTTTGGCCCAATGATTAGGAAGAGGGCTGGGGCTGGGGAGAGGAAGTGGGGTTATATAACCAGTCTCTTTCCCCGCTCTCTTGCTCCCTGGAGTTTTAACCACAAGCCAGTTAGTGCTGATCTGCACTAATCCCCATGTGGAAAGGATGCTGTAAATATGGTTGTAAGGAGCTTGTGATAATCAGCTGGACACTAGAAGCAGGTGAAGCGGCTGCTGCTGGAAAGAGCCCCTCTCCAGCTCTGAAATTTCGCTTCTCCCCCACCCCCAGCATATTGTGCAAAACCAACCAGGTGGCAGTAAAGACCTTGCTAAAAATTACAAGGAATCAGCACAAAACCAATTACGAAAACACAGAAAGAGCTAAACTGGTACGATGAAAACAGCACTCAATCCCCCGCTTCTTGCTTTGAACATGGCAAAGTAGTGCCACCTGGTGGGCAGAATGGAAAATGGCACCAACAATCCCTGTATCTGAAGTGGCAGTTTAATTTCTAAATCAAGGCAAGCAAAGCTCAAATATAGCTTCAAGCCAGGCCAAACTATGCCTTTGCAACTAGATTTCAGAGTTTTTCGTGATTCCTCAGTGCTGGAAAGCATACTCTGCACATGCTCAGATACACGTTATGCCTTATCTCATGCCAAAGGCCTGAGGCCTATCGCTGAAAATAAGCTAAATACTAGCTCAACTGAGTCGGGAAAAGAAAGAAAGAACAAGTGTTGTGTCCAACTTCCTGGCAGAAGAGGATGGGTGGTGGAGCATCTGCCTTGTACACAGAAAATCCCAACTTCAATCACCAGCGTCTCCAGGTAGATTTTGGAGACTTCTGCCCAATACAGTGGAAAGCTGTTGCCAGTCAGTGTAGAGAGAGACCAAAGGTCTGACTCTGTTTAAGGATGCTTCTCCATAATTCCTAATTTTGTTGTTGTTGTTGTTGTTGTTGTTGTTGTTGTTTAGTCGTTTAGTCGTGTCCGACTCTTCGTGACCCCATGGACCAGAGCACGCCAGGCACTCCTATCTTCCACTGCCTCCCGCAGTTTGGTCAGACTCATGTTTGTAGCTTCGAGAATGCTGTCTAACCATCTTGTCCTGTCGTCCCCTTCTCTTTGTGCCCTCAATCTTTCCCAACATCAGGGTCTTTTCCAGGGAGTCTTCTCTTCTCATGAGGTGGCCAAAGTATTGGAGCCTCAGCTTCACGATCTGTCCTTCCAGTGAGCACTCAGGGCTGATTTCCTTCAGAATGGATAGGTTTGATCTTCTTGCAGTCCATGGGACTCTCAAGAGTCTCCTCCAGCACCACAGTTCAAAAGCATCAATTCTTCGGCGATCAGCCTTCTTTATGGTCCAGCTCTCACTTCCATACATCACTACTGGGAAAACCATGGCTTTTACTATACGGACCTTTGTTGGCAAGGTGATGTCTCTGCTTTTTAAGATGCTGTCTAGGTTTGCCATCGCCTTTCTCCCAAGGAGCAGGCGTCTTTTAATTTCGTGACTGCTGTCACCATCTGCAGTGATCATTCCTAATTTATCCACCTGAATTTAACGAAAACACACAAGGGGTGGGGTGGGCAAAAGGGGCCAGGATCCAGGAATTCAAGACTTGTGGTTCTTTGCAGTCAAGTCTAAGAGGGATAAGAGGTGGGAAACTGGGAATTAAGGCTGTCAGGTTCAAAGTCAGAGAACATGGATGCTTTTAAATCCCCTGCTGCAGGCAGGACCCTAGGCAACCACAGCTTCCCTTGCCCATTCCTCTCCCAAACAATTATCCACCAGGGACCCCTATTAACTGTGTGCCATGTAGCAAGGTGGCGAGAATAGATGACAGGGCCTGAGAGGAACAGGCAGGATACATTTCTCATCATGGGGAAATTTATAAGTGTGTGAATATTCTCCAGCTTTGAATTAAGACAACTATTAACTAGAACAGCCCTTACCCAACTAACCAATGAAGCAAGCTATTTCAGGACAGATCCAAATATGTGCAAAGTTAAGTTTTCACCTTTATCCATTCGTCCAATCAGAGCCGGTCCTACCATTAGGTCAACTGGGGTGGCCACCTCAGGCAGATTTTTTGAGCATCTCAACAGGACAGTAAATTGTCCATTATTTATTACTGTATTTTTGCTGCCAAGCTGCGGGGAGAGGCTCATATTGGATTTTTGGCCTTAGATGCCAAAATTAACTTGACTGGCTTGGATGACCCTGTGCCTTGATTTGGGTGACAGTGGGGAGCAGGGTTGGGACCGTTTGTTGCTCTGTCTTCAGGCAGCAAAATGTCCTGGGCCAGCTCTGGAAAATCTGCGCATAAAGCAAAATTTATACACAGGAAACTTGCCAAGTGTGGTGAGAGAACGGCACACTACCGCCAGGCAATTCTCCTTCATGTGTTGAGAAGCCTACACCTCTAGGGTACGGCTCATCCAAAGAAACTTGGCTAAAACACACAAAACAGGAAGATAATCAAGGACAGTGCTGCCCTCCGCTGGTTCAGTATATTCCTGCATCCAAAATGCAGTAATAACGCAAGGCAAGTCCTGCCCAGAATCCTTCCCACAATGGCCAAGTATGTTTCTGAGAAGCCCACAAGCAGGACACTGGGGCAACAGCTCTCTTCCCATTACTGCTCCAAAGCAAATGGAAATTCAGAGGTTCAGACTACAAATCTGGAGGTAGAATAGCTAGTCATCTCAGTATCAGCTTTACCTACCATGAATTTTTCTAATCCACTTTTAAGTCACTTAAATTAGTGGTAGTCATATCCTGTGGCCGTGAATGCCAGTTAACTGTGACTATCTGAAGTACTTCCTCTCATCCTGGATTTTCAGTTTTGCTGGATTTCCCTGGAGAAAAGCATCTGCCCACCTTTACTAAGATTTTGTCCCCACTGCTATTCTTACGCTGTATTCTTATTTTTTGTGTTTACATCTTTTTTATATAAAAAAAACCAAGCCACCTAGAGGACTCTGGTAATGGGGGCAGCATAGGCATGCCAAAAATAAATGCCCATTACACCAAACTGAAAAGCTCCCAATATTGCTTTTCCGCATGGAGAGGTGCTCCAGCCAGTGACCATTTCAGTTGTTCAGCTTTCAGTGTTGAATTATAAGACTGGTTTTCAGCCTCATTTCAGGAACTTTTTATATTCATACCTCCAAATCAAGCTTACCCAAGAGTTCATCAGATTACTTAATTTGCCATATAGCTTTATGTGCTCAGCTAATGTTTATGCAGGTTAGCAGATGAACCCAGTTTGAATTGGCAGAATGACTTATCTGTGACCTGCATTTGGTGACAAACCACTTAGAGAGTTCACCAAGCACTTTGACTTTTCCCAACTAAAAGTTTAAACCCAAGTCCAAAAGGACGACATCGACTCACACTGAAACATTCCTGTCTGGTACCAAGTTGCCTTAAGGACTATCTATGCCTATATAAACTTGCATCGCAATTAAGATCAGGTTCAAGAACCCTGTTTGCTGTCCCACCAACACATGAAGTTGAAAGGACAAGTGCCAGAAACAGGGCCTTCCCGTTGGTGGTGCCAGGCTTTATCGTTCTTGTCCTTCTCTTGAAGACTTAACAAATACTTTTAGTGCTGTTTTAAGACGTTTCATAGCCCCTACCTGGCAACAGGTGTTTGTCGATCGCTTTAGATTGTTGAACTGCAACTGAATTGTAACTTTATTGCTTTTCTGTTTTTAATTTTGTACACCACTCTGCACCATGTCTTTTAGAAAAGCGGTATATTCAAAAAATATTTAAAATATTTATATACTGCTTTTCAGGTGAACCTCAAAATGTCTTTACACGAAAATATTTCAAATAAACATTATTAAAAATTATTTAATAAAATAGTAAATATAAGCTACAGGGGAAAAACTATGGAGGAAGTAAAACACTTCTAAAAAGCCAGATCTGTTTCCCCCCTAGCCCTGTGGTGGCAGTTGTGGGAGGGAAGACGGTTGTTAAAGTTCTGTGTGCACAAAGAAGCACACACCATGCGGTATAGCCCATGAGAAATGTGTGTGCACATTAGCATACAAGGAACTGTGGAGACCTGTCAAACAGCCCCTTGACCTGTCAAACACCTCTGGCTGTGCCAGCCAGAGGGTGCACCACAAGGCCCTTAAAAAACCCTGTGGGCTACCTTATGCTGCTGGCATGTTGTGTACTGCTGAGGGGTGGGTGTGTGTAAACTACAGAACTGGGTAAGGACAACCGTACTAGTATTGTCCCAAGCTGCACCTGCATTTTTATGACACAAATGCATACAACTGGGACACTGATGGAGGGAGAAGAAATTCACATGTTCCATTAAATCATTTAAGTACTTGCCAGCTAATGTGTGGAACAGTTCAGATGCCCCTCGTGTCATAACAAATCTCAGCATTCATCACCTCTTCCCACATCAAGGTAGCTTAACACCGGTGCCATAGGACAGTTTAAGGGGTCGCGGTGGCAAGGGATGCAGAGGCCAGTATTTTGAATGAGCGAATTCATTTGGACACAGAGGGAGATCACTCTGCTCTGCTGACTTGCCTTAAGAACGTCCTTGCTGGATTAGGCCAAAGGCCTGAAAAGCAGCTAACCAGATGTTCCCAGGAAAGCCCATGGCCACCCCAACATACTGCCTCTAAACAGAGGTCACATTTAGCTTGCATGGCTAGCACGCACATAGAAAGAACCTTCTTTGCTTAGATTTGCCCAGCTTCCTTTTGAAAACAAACAAACAACTAAGTTAGTGGTCAAAACCACAACTCGGAGCAATGAATTCCTTAATTATGTGTTGTGCAGAGAAACATTCTCGTTATCCTTCATCAACCAATTTCAGCAAAGTAATCCTGAAGTCCAACAGTAAAGAATCCTCTTTCCCTTTACCTGCTCCTCACGGTTCACAATCTTATCTACCTCTATAAAGTCTCTTCTTTGATATCTCCCCCCCCCCAACCGCAAAGCAGCAACCTCTTTTTAAAGCCCTCCGTCAAAAAGGAAGATGCTCCCCATTTCCGATCCTCTTATTTCGATGCTCCTCTGCGCTTCTATTAACATCCTTTTTAACGGTAAGGGCAGAGCATTCTCAACGTGGGCCGCTGGTTTTAGATGATGGCACAACCAAACATTAAGAGCCTTCTTAAGAAAAAAAAGGCATTTAATAGATTTTCCTGCTTTTATAATTTAAATAACTTAAAGACGGAAAAGAAGAAAAATCTGACAAGGGCGAGACAGACTTGGACTGCAGCCTCAACGTGAAGGTGGGAGAGGAAGAGAGAGGAGAAATGGAGAATGTACTTGTGGAACCCCAATGCCCACCACACCCACCCCCCCGTGCGCCAGACCCCACCCCGTCCCCACTGGCCCCTAAAGCCGCCGGAGAGCTCGCTTCTTGTCGGTCTTCTTCTTGGAGGCCAGTTTCTTGTCCCTGTCGCCTGCATGTTTCTTAGCCATGGGGCCTTCCCCCGAGGCACCGGCCGAAGAAGAGCAAGGCTCGGCAGGGTCCTTGGTGCGCAGGCCGGACGAAGGCTGGGCATGGATCTCCGTCAGGAGGCGGGCCCGGGAGGCATATTCCTCATAGTTCTCCAGCAGGAGGCGCCCTGCTTCCTCATTCAGGGCCGATTCTGGATTGGGATGGATCAGCAAACACTTGATGGTCTACAAGGGGAACAAGGAGCGAGGGCAGTCAGAACCAGGGGAAGGAGAGACATTATCAGTGTTAGGAACAGGGCCTTCTTGGCAGTGGTGCCCACCCTGCGGAACAGCCTCCCACCAGCTGTCAAGGAAATAAACAACTATCTGACTTTTAGAAGACATCTGTTTAGGAAAGTTTTTAATGTTTGATTTTTATTGTGCTTTTTATATCCTGATAGAAGCCACCCAGAATGGCTGGGGAGGCCCGGCCAGATGGGCAGGATATAATATATGATGATGATGATGATGATGATGATGATGATGATGAAAGAATCCAGCGAGCTCTGCCATTGGCCAGCCAAACAAGGGCGTCTCAGGAAGTTGTGCCCACTCCCTCCCAGGAAGAGTAGAAGGACAGGAGGAAGACCAGCATGGTCTCAGCCACTGCTTGGCTGCTGCTTCCCTCTACCCCAGCAATAAATCTGCTTCACAAACTGGTTGTCTTTGGACTGCTAAAGTGAGGAGAAAGATGCACTGACTCCGGTCAGCAGTCAGTGGGTGACAAGCTGCTAGGCACCCTTTTACACACTGCCTGGATTTATTTCTATTTATTTATTCCATTTATATATACAACCTTTGTCTTCCAAGGAGGTCAATGTGGTGTACAAGGTTCTCCTTCTCCCCATTTCATTCTCACAACAACCTCGTGAGGTAGGTTAGGCTAAGAGCTTCATGGCTGAGTGGGGATTTGAACCCTGGTCTCCCAGGTCATAGTCCAGCACTCTAACCATTATACCACACTGGCTGCCTTCCCCAATGTGGTGCTCTCCTGATGTTTCATACTGCAGCTCCCTTTGGCCCCACCAGCTGACATGGCCAGCAGTTGGGGCTGATGGATATTGTAGACAAAAATTTCTGGAGGGCATCAAGCTGAGGAAGGCTCTTTTCATGTGTTGTAAGTTGCCCTTTGGAAATCATTCAGTCCTAGAGATGGGGCATAACTCTGAAGCAGAGTTCAGAGTTCTGCCTGCAGAAGCTTCTCACTCTCAGCCCGACACCAGATTCAGATTAAAAAGTGGAACCAGGAACAAGGTACTCTATTATCACCTTGGTACAGATATGTGCTTGTGAAAAAGGAGCGTTGCTGGTTTGAAAGTGCCTGTCAAAAGCTCAAAGCTTATGGGAAGTGAATGCATTAGAGAAAAGGCTAAGGAAGCAGCAAGCAACCTTCCTGATGTGCAAGCGTTTTACTAGCAGGGATATTAAAAGTGGATGATTTCAAAGCAAGATTCTTCTCTCATACATTCTGAGGTGGAACAGACAACAGGATCTGTCCTGCATTGCGGTCTGTTTTTTTATTTAGTCACCATGATGGAGAGCTGCAATTCAAATCCAGGAAAAAGCAGTCAATATTCTGGGGCCCCAGGACCACCTAAATACTGTGGCATCATCTATCCCAAGCTCCCACAGAGTCCTATCTCTGTTGCTTCAAAAGTTACCTAACTTAAAGATTGGAAAGATGGTAGAAAACCTAGAAAGGAGCAAGTTTTAATGGCCGCTGACTAAGGTGTTTTTTAACTTAATCGTCACCTCCCTTTTAACTGATTCATTCAATTTAAATACTTCAACATACTGCCAAAATATTAAGAGAGTTGCCTAGACCTATCCACTTGCAGGGGAAGAACCCATAAAAAAATGGTCATATTCCCAATGACAGGGGCAAACCACGGCTCAGAGGCGAGACACGTTTTGCATGCAGTTCAATCCCTGGTACTGCCCATTGAAAGGATCTTAGGCGTCAGGCAAAAGAAATGTATCTGCCTACTTGAAACCCTGTCACACCAATGCCATTCAGTATAAAAAGTACTGGACAATAAGTCTGACCAGGTGAATTAACAATATTAACAATTTTGTTACAACCCAATTCAGGACCCAAACATACCATTTTGGGATGTAACCCAGTATAAACCACCACTCACCAGCAGGACATGTCGGATGCCCAGTTCCGCTTTCCAGTCCTTCTTGAGGACGTTGACGCAGATCTCGCCATTGGCCCCCACGTTGGGGTGGAATATTTTGGTCAGGAAGTAGCCTTTGGGTGGGCTGGCTGGAAAGTCTTTGCCGAGGATGAGCTTCATGCGAAAGAGGCCACCGGAATATGGGGTACCCTCTGCAGCAGGAACAGGAGAAGGGTTGTCTCAGCAATACCGCAGGATGGCATCTCCCACTCACTGTACCCCACACATGGTTTAAACCATAGCTCAGTTATCTCTGATGTCCAGCTAACTATTTTGCTTTTTTGTCTGCCTGATCCCAAGGAGTGCTCCCTTTACCCCTTCTCTATTTTTTGAGAACGCCAATATGGCCTCCTCTAGATTTCATCTTCTACAGCAGCCATGATGATCCACAAGACCTTGGGAGCTAAAAAAGATGCTGGCCAAGCTATTGGTATCTGAGTGTTGTTTTATGATGTGGTTGGTGCTCTGTACCACGTTGGGAACAAATTATTTTGTAAAAATTTGTATACCACCCTATACCTGCAGGTCTCAGGGTGGTTCACAAGATAAAATCATGATATAAAAACACAGAATACATAATCAAAATAAAAACAAGAACAATCCAATAACTCCCCCCTCTCAAACACATTATAGGTAAGTTCAGTCAAAGGAGATTATGGGGTGTGGCACTCATCTCTGCTTTCAGGCCGAGGGAACCGGTGTTTTTCTACAGACAGCATGCCAGGTCATGTGACCAGCATGACTAAACCGCTACTGGCGCACGGAGGACCGTGATGAGTGCCAGAGCGCATGGAAACACATTTACGTTCCCACTGCAGTGATACCTATTTATCTACTTGCACTGGTGTGCTTTCGAACTGCTAGGTTGGCAGGACCTGGGACAGAGCAACGGGAGCTGACTACATCGGGGGGATTCGAACTGCCAACCTTATGATCAGCAAGCTCAGTGGTTTAGACCACAGCATTATAACGCCCCCCAACAAATGATATGCCTTGTCAAAGACTGTGGAATTTTCACTGAAAAGAAGGGGAACGTAATTTGAATCCTGAATTATTATTTTCTTGGACAGTGTTCTGAGGCAACAATGGTTGATGATGATATTATCATCATCCTCACGTCTCTGGATTAGCAGAAATTTCTCCTATTACTGTTGAATAAACTTTTATTCCTGATTCAGCCCTACTTAAATTCAGAGAAAACCTCTGTTCTTCTTTTCATGTATTGTATCTGAAGTCCCAGAACTTAATACAGTGATTTGTGACTTGGCATGTTCTGTGTTCCTTATTTATTTATTTTTAATTAAACTGGAATGTAGTGGTTAATAGAAAAGCATAGCAAATATCATAAACCATAGGATATGGGATGAAAGAGGGTTATAAAACATGAAATGGGCACTGCAGGAGTGAAGTGAATGATGCCTTTCAATGCTATTTGGTGGCTGCCTAAGTATACACAGAATAAACTCAGGGAAGAGAGGTTTATCTTTTAGAACGCTCTGGTTGGTCACAAGACAAAAAAAGATGACATTTTAAAAGTTAATAGTTAAAAGTTAAAGTTTATATAAGCCCAGATAAAATTATGAGTTTGTTATATTAAAATGCAAAACGTTTCTGTTTTCCCATTTTATTTCTGGTGTGGTTTTATTGCTAGAAGACAGACATTATATGGTCTTGCTGTAGAAACTGATAACTTGGTATTTCAAGAAAACTGAATCTTCTCTTCAGTTAAGAGAGAATGTCCCAAATGTTAGATAAAGCCCACCATACCTCTGTTACATTAGAGAACTCTTCTCTCTCTGAAACACCACGTTTAGAGATACTGTAGAAGATTCCACTTTGGGCAATGAGGTTGAGAAATCAGATAGACAGAGTACAAAAGAGATACAAAAAAGTTTCAAGGTTCCTCTTGGTCTCAACAATATTTACAACCCAACTGTGATAAGGAAGGATTCTTAGTGTACAAGGAGGAAAAAGAGAAGAAGCAATCCAGAAATTTGGGATTGTCATTATAAATTAATGAAAGGCTAATTTTTAATAAGGAGTATTATTATTCACGTGTGTGTAACTGAAGGGAAAAAACTAAAGTGTACCCTAATTTTGCTTCCTTTTTAGCATTATTTAGCCCAGTTTTGCTTTTTCTCCAGCAACTCTCCTGAATACTGAAGGCTTGCTGACTTCTTTTTTTAAAGGAGCTAAATAATAAGTCTGGTTTTCCCCCCTCTCTTTCTCTTTTAGCCTTCACCTCAAGCCCTTTTCTGGGGCAAGTTTGTCTACTTGCAAGGCAGATATTTTTACTCCTCTCAGCACAAGCTTAATAGGGGCTAGATTTTTCTTTTCCCTTTTAATTTCCAGTTTGGGGCTCAAAGATTCATTCACCAGTTGAAAACAGTGGACCTCAACTTTGGTAGATATGGACCCTCCTGAACATTTATTAGAACCAAGGGTGGGAAAGGGGTTAATTTGGTTTTATTGCTAGAAGTCTGAAAGTATATGGCCGGGCTGTGGAAACTGAGAACTTGGTATTCCTAGAGAATTGAAACTTCTCTTCTGCTAAAAGAGATTACACTGGCCAAATGGGCTGTCTCCAATGTTAGCCCTAGACCCATTGATATCGATGGGCATAATCAACACAGGCCCGTTAATTTCAACACATCTACTCAGAGTATAATTTAACTGGATACACCCCAATAGTCCTGACCTCCTGTATTCCATTTCAGTGTTATGTCTGCACTGAGCCACGGCTCAAGGCTTGGTTCCAGAGCTTCCCCCGCCTACAAGACCCCACCCAACTGTCTTATTTCTAACCACAAGGTTAGAATATATGAATATATAAATATATATATGTATTATATATACATACATATATATAATATACAGTCATACTTCTTGTTACGTTTGCTTCAGGTTAAATCTTTTCAGGTTGCATCCTGTGGCAACCCGGAAGTACCGGAAAGGGTTACTTCCGGGTTTCGCCGCTCACGCAGACGCTCAAAATGATGTCACGCGCATGCGCAGAAGCGGCAAATCATGACCCATGCACACGCGGGTTGCGTTTTGCTCATGTTGCGAACTGGGCTCCGGAACAGATCCCGTTTGCAACCAGAGGTACCACTGTAAATACCTGCACGCTATAAGCAGCAGAAAGGTATCTGGATTCTCTCACAGGAGGTACGGAAGAGAGCTCCTTTCCCCATCCTGGAAGCAGGTGATGGGAACAAGCTCTCCTGGACAACATAGGAATATTGACGGGAAGCTAAATTTAGGCTGCCTGTGGAGAAGAGCCCCACAACCCCTTAAAAGAGTCACCTTTCCATTCTTGCTTGGACAATGCCACCTGGCACTGTTGCCCTTTTCACAACAACCCATAAGCTAGAGCTCTGCTGTACTTGATGCAGGGACTGCCCTCTGCCTCCTAACCACATGCTTTTTTAAAACAGGAGTCTCGGAAAGCAAACTCCACGTGCCCCTTCTTACCAGGTCCTTCAATGGTAACTTGCACATCTGTGATGTCCTCCTCATTAGGGAATACTTTGATGCCTTCAGGTGGGTCTGAGGTCAGAGTGGAGACTTCCCTGTAGACCAGCCGAATCACGTGGGGAGGCAAATTTTCTACATTGGAATTCTGCAGGGTGGGAGGGGGAAAAGCAAAGAAGAATATGGTTCTTAGCTGAAATACAGTCCCTGCCTGGATCTGCCACCCACTGCTCTTGAAGGGGGCAGGGCTGACCAAAATTGGGAGTGACAATGTGCTGCAGAATGCCCGAAAAGTTGCATAGAGGGTGACCAAGAGATCTACCCAAGAGCCTCCAGCAACACAGAACAGGAAGGCCAGCTCTAGGCACTAGTAATACTCAGATTTACTTGGAGGAGGGAATGGGAAGGAAAGCATAGTGCATGTAAAAGGTGCTTACTTGGGTCAAACAATGTTCCAATGCCTTGGAACACACACACACACACACACACACACACCTGTGGAGAAACACCACCATCCAAAATAAGCTTCCACTTCCTAGTCTTCTCCCAGCAAAGTCAGTGAATCATTAAATAGCTACTTGCTTTCCAAGGCATGTCACTGGAACACTGTCTTCTGCCAGCATGCCACTAGAAATGCTTACTCCTAAGTAATCTCCCCATAACCCACAAGAACCTGCCAATTCAAGCAGCAACGCGGTCTGCTTCCTATGTTTACTCACAAGTAGGCTCCCTGAAAGCCGTTTCATGCAGCAGGTTGATGACAAAACATAGGATCCATTTCAAAATGCACTTTCTTCTGATTAACTCTCATTCACCAAGAATTATGCGTGTCTTATTTTTAAAGTAATTTTTTGTTGATGAGCCCCCGACTGCAAAACCCAAAGACAGTCTAATTTCTCTCCACTAAAAACCATGTACCGTATTTTTCGCCCCATAGGGCGCACCGGCCCATAAGGCGCACTGAGTTTTTTTTGGGGGGAAATAAAGGGGGGGAAATTATTTTCGCCCCCCAAGGCGCGAGGCTGGGGCGGGGGAAGCCCAAGCTTCCCCCAACCCCAGCCCCCAGAACAGGCTGCTCTCCGCAAGCCCTCCTGCGGCTTGCGCAGAGCTACCCGAAGCCCCAGCGCGACTGCTGAGCGCGCCGGGGCTTCGGGATAAGAGGCAGTGCTGCGCAAGCCGGGGGAGGGCTCCCACTGCTTGCGCAGTTCTACCCGAAGCCCCTGCGCGACTGCTCAGCGCGCCGGGGCTTCGGGATAAGAGGCAGCGCTGCGCAAGCCGGGGGAGCCCGGCGGGAACTCCCGCGGGCTCCCAAGCCTTGCGGATAGCTTCCTGAAGCCAGGCTTCAGCGAAAGCCCGCATTCGCCCCATAGGACGCACACACATTTCCCCTTCATTTTTGGAGGGGAAAAAGTGCGTCCTATAGGGTGAAAAATACGGTACCTCTAGCCTGAAAAGACACACCCACACACAGACTCAGAGAGAGAGAGAGAGATCCAAGGCAAAACAGCACAAATTAAAATGGACTTTTGAACAGCCACTCACCTGCCTGCACATGGCAAGCAAGAACCAGGGATGCTTTATAAACTGGAAGAGCCCTTTTTAAAATTAAAATTAACACTATATATATATATATATATATGTGTGCACATAAGCTCAAGGGCAACTACACTGTATACAGAGTCTTTGTTGCAAGGCAGAAATAAACACATATGGGAAGAGTAACATGAAGACACACCCATCCCAAATAGCAAAGGCGCATCAAATTAGACAGAGTAAAAGAAAAAGGAACAGCTTGTTTGCAAAAATTGATTTATCTTGTTTCATTTATCAATTGCTTCCAAAGGGATCAGAAGCCCAATGGTATTTTAAAGCAATATTACATCCCTCATAGCGGCAATTCTTGAAAGCACAGGCACAATTCCTCCTCAAAACTGCCTGAGTGGAACTTCCAGGGCTGAGGAAGGAAGGGATGGGAAGCAGCTACTTTGCAGCCCTGCGCTCGCAGTCCTTTGGTGGAGCACAAACTCTCATAACTGTCAAGACAACAAGGCTAGATGTGTTACAAAGAGCCAAAGTCACGTAGGCTCAAGAATCCCAGCATTCAAAAGTACTAATTGGTGGGGACAGTGTCAAATCCTACGTAAAACCCTTCCACCCCCAAGGCAAATGCTGCTACTTGAGAAAAGCCAATGTGGGTGAGTGTGGTACAGAGGACAGGGAGGGCTGTATTAGGATCAGAGAGGCAAGTTCAGTCACAAAGCCCACTGCGTGACCTTGGGCCGATTACACACTCTCAGAACAACCTACTTCACAGTTTAATTGTGAGGGTAAAACAGGGGAGAGTGAAATACAAGAATCATGGGCACAGCCCTTGAACTCCTTGGAGAAGAGGCAAGAGCAAAATGTAATGATGGATTGAGAAAATACACTAGCAAGGTAGCTTTCACAGCAAAAGTTGAATCTGACTTCTCAAAAGCCTGCTGCCAATATTGCAGCACAGCTATCAAACACAGCAAATCTGGAGTGGCTGGGCTTCTTCTAACCCTCTTTTGCACACACGGGTTTGTATGTTTTTAATTTCAGGTGAGAAACGGGGGTGAAAGCAAGCAGAGACACACACAAATTAAGCGGGTACCTGAATGACAGTTTTCTTTGGGGCTGTTCAGATTGTGTGTGACCCCCAACTCACATGAGGTAGCCAGAAAGAGATGGGGAGCAGGCCTCAGGCCTACAGTTTCCCAATTCACTCTCCTCACTTACTAAGCCAATGGACAAAGGCAAGGGATTCCATGATTGTTCAAAACAGAGATTTAATCTGGCAAAGCAAGGGAGATTCCCCATTCAAACAAACACAGGATCTCTTGGTCTGTTAGTCACTTTTTCAGTGTGTGTGTGAGAGAGAGATAGAGAGTGAGTGAGTGAAATAGAGAGAAAGAAAACACACGAGAAGGCAAGTCTGCTCTCACCTTTCACCCCCCCCTAATCCTGAGAACACCTCATCTAAACAGCCCCCCCACTGCTATTTATTTATATTTTGACACCTGTCAACTGTAGATCCTTATTTGCACCGTCAGAAGGAATTAAGTGGCCTGCATTGCCAGCAAACATTGACATACAAAAGCAGGACAATTGCAAAGGAAGAAAACCTTTTGTACTTAGGTTACGCAAAGTCTTTAGGCAAGGTATGCCTTAACTTTTCCCTCAGACACAATGTGTATTTGTGGGTGTACAATTTTTGTTACTTGATTGTCATTTCTACAAACGCTCCACCTCAGTTCAATATCCTAGGGTGGCTATTTGCAGCCTCTGCTTCTCAGACCAATTCTGCACACACCCTAAAGGTGCCCACATATGTCTTTCAGAGTGCTAAAGGGGTTGCCCACTTGCCATTTTAAAAGGAGCAAGCTGACCTAGCCTCCAACATGTACCAGCTCTCCCTGGGGAGTTCTTTCCCATCTCTCTCTCTGACTCCAATAGAAACTAAGTTTTACTACTGTAGCGTACATGGACACAAAAGCATGTAGCCCAAAACTGAAAAATAAACCATTTGGGTCACAGTCTAACTCAGACTCTCTATCAATCTTGCATCCTCAGATTATGTTGGACTAGCTAGCAGGACCAGTGGCCAGGGATGATTTTAGTCCAACAACACCAGGGGACCTAAAGTTGTGCAAGGCTAGTCTAATTAGTTAACTACATCCACAGCCTCCTTTACCAAAAGTACAGAGGAGGCCACACTTAAACAGGACACTCCACAATACCATTTCTGATCCCTTCTGGATCAAAGCAATGTGTCCCACGTTGCTGGATGTTTTTTTCTTGGAATCCTCCAAAGCTAACAAAAATCAGATTCCATGCCAGGCTCATTCTAATGGAACTTAAAACACAAAGGCACCAACAGTGGGAATGCTGCCCCCAAAGGGCATTTCAAGAGTAAACCAATAGTAAGGATGCCAAATGGCAAAAATGCATCACCCTTGGCTATAAAGGAAGACATCAGAGGAGGCATCCTAGCATCTCTTTGGAGTAACTGTAAAATAAAGTACCAACACTCAAGAGCTTACAGATAAAGAACACACTCACAAGGAGAAAAATATTACACACCACTATGTATGGCTTTCTACGTGAACATTTTCATTTCGTCCATAAAAGTCATCACTTCTGCTTAAATTACAAAGTGCTTAACCTTCACTGACACACACATATACTATGTGTTGAGTAACGACTAATGGTTTTTGATAGATTACAAAAAAATAAAGTTATCATGGAAGCTCAGTCCTACCCTGCACACAAAACTGCTGCCTGTGTGTAAACCATCTGCTGGGGGGTGGGGTTGGGGAAGAGGAGAGAACACTGCTTGCCAAGGATTCGTCCCATGAGAAAGAGTTTACAATTAAACACATCTGAAAGCATGTAAGAGGTCAAAGGACTGCGCAGGTCTCAAATACAAAATGAAAATTTAAAAACATGTATGCAGCACTGCACATAGAAACATATACCCAAGGGAACCAAAGGCCTAGACTGGAACAAATCAAGACAAAAGGTTTTTAAAAGGCTAACCAACTTTATAGACCTTAAAGCAGTACTCTTACAACTCCACTGAGTAGAAGAGTTTGCAAACATGGAAGATTTTGCTTTGAGAGAAAGGGGGAGCAGGAGAAGACAAACTGTTCAGAGTACTGCTGTATCTTCCTAAATCCTCATACTACGAAAGAATAAAACTACTCAGAAAGCAAACTCTAGATGCCTCCCAATACAATCCTATATGTTTATTCAGGAGCAAGTCTCATGGTGTTCAATGCCCAGGATTCCAGCCTTAATAAAGAATGTCTGAGATATGTTTCCCCATATGTAAAAAGAACAATCCACCTTTTCTATTATGTATTATTTTGTACAAGTGATTACTTTCTGTGTTTGCAGCAAGGAATAGGCCTTTAGCCCTGCACCTGGAAATCAAACAAAATACATTCTTTCTTTCCCTTATAAATCAAACAATATAAAATATGCCTCAACAAATATGATCCAAACAGGGAATGTAATCAAATTCTAGAAAAGCAAAGGTGGCTATTATCAAAATGCATTATTTACCCTGTAAGGAATCTATTGTCCCAAATAAATATCTGAGGATTTTTTAAAGACCTTGATACTCTCAATAATGTGTGTTTTTCATATGGATCATGCATCAAGGATGCCACAGCTCACACATCCAAGAAAGGAAACAGGAGGAGCAAAGTTGTAACAAAGGATGGAAAATATTGTGGCAAGTGGGGAATTAAGTTTTTTTCAAGTTTGACTTCCAGTGTGGGTAACTGCCCACCCCTCCTATACAAAAATTATTCCTCCCATAAACACTTATAAAACCCTAATGAAGTCGGACATTTTAAACCAGGGATGGAGAACCTGCGGCCCTCCAGCTGTTGGACTCCAACTCCCATCATCCCCAGTCAACATGGTCAGAGATGGTGGCAGTAGGAGTCCAATAACAGCTTCCCCACCCTGCTTAATTTAGACAAATACTCAGAGAAACTGGCATCACTACATCTGTTATACTTGCACCTCCATTTTTAAATGCCTTTCCAGTGTACTCATTCCACACCAAAGAATATGGGCCTCTTTAACCATATTATAAGATGAGTTCCTTTAGGAACTGAGAAGCTCCTTCTGAATGTTTCACTTTCTCTTCATATTTCATCAGTAGCTCCTCTATTAGGATCCTTCCTCTATCATGACACCCCTAAGCCTGGCACTAGATCAGGAAATTCCACCCTTTCTCTACACCAGGACTTCAACAGGCTTCTCACCACTCGCGCCACAAACACTGACATATATCCAATGCTAAATCCAAGTATCTTATTACAAGCAAATCCTACACAGAACCCCACTCCCAGATCCCTTCCCCAAAACAAAACCATAACCTTGGAACCCAGCTGAAAACAGGCAGCCAAAGGCTTCACTCCATACTCCTGGATTTTGCCTACAGCCACACAAATATGAACAGATCCCCATGTTAACCATCCCTTGAACCTTAGATCAGTATTGTGCAGTAAAGTCACATGCCACCAATCCCAACCAAGTTCTGGTAGGTCCCAGAACCAAGGAGAAAACTTCAAATTAGGCATGGGCAAACGAGCCAAAAGCCACTCACCATTGTGTAGGGTCTGCACAGAGGATTGTAGAACAGCACAACCTTTAGAGGGCTCACATACGCACCTTAGTCTAACACCTAAAATATCGTGCGCCTACTCCTAACCTGGGTCAGGAGCCCCCTACCCCTATTGAGAAAACGCTAGATACTAGGGTTTAAGAAGTTCCACCTTTCCCATGCATTTACGGGGGGGAACCAGATGTTCCCCCCACCCTCCTCCTTCTCCACGCTGTTACCAACTCGCTTATGCCACCCTCACTTTAATGAGGGTGGCCGGTGCCCAGCAAACGTTTTTATAACCCTCGGCCAAAGCCAGCCACACCCCTTTGGAACCCCAACCGCCCAATCAGGCCCGTTAGAACGGAGGGGGGTCCGTTCCTCCCCCCTCCCTTCTCGGGTGCTCTCCTCGCGGAGAGCCGTTGACAACCAATGTCCGCGACGGCCGGCAGCCAATGAGGAGAGGCGTAGTGGAGAGGCGGCGCTATAGTGCCTGATTGGACGGATTTGAATACGAACGTTTGGTGAAAGCGGCGTTTAAAGGGACGATAGTTTGTTTATCTGCTAACGGTTGCGGGAAGAAACTGGGTGGGGGCGAATTTCAAATCCTTCGATTGACGCGCCGTTTCGCCAATAGAATGTGAGAGTGCGCGAGAGACGCGGCTCGGAGAAATAGTAACTTGACGTAGCGATGTAGCCAATAGGCGACGAAAAAGTGTCTGGCTGAGGGGAAAGCTCTGCCTCCGGTTCTTCCTTATTCAAACAAAGCGGGCAGGTTCCTAATTGGCCAAATGAGAAAAGTAAACCCGCCCAACTGACGACAGGAAGCAGCTAATTAGGGCTGAATAAGTTAAATATATTTCGTCTAATAATTATGCATAATGACGGGATACACTAAGAAGCGGGTGGGGCTTAACAGGGGAAATGACTGCTCGGGCGACCAGTTCGAGATGTTCTCAACCATCCTGTTCTCAATAATGTTCATGGACACGCACACTTGACAGCTGCCATTAGCACCATCTATGAAGGAACTTCCTTCTCACTGGAAACATCGTTGCAACTGCTCTCTGAAGGCGTTTGTGATTAAGGCTGCAAACCTATGTTCACTTACTTGGGAGTTAAGCCTCGGTGATTGTAATGGGGCTCACTTCTGAGTAGACAGAGAATCGGCACAAAGGTTTGTTTGTGGGCAGTGCAGTAGCTACAACTTTTTTGCCCTGGGTGAAGCCCCCACAGGAGCTGCCAGCCTGAGTGGAAAGCATAATGCTGGTGGTCGACAAAAGAAGTTTAAAGACTCTCTCAAGGCAAATCTCTTAAAATGTAGTATAAACACCAACAACTGGGAAACACTGGCCTGCAAGTGCTCCTGTTGGAGAACAGCCTTTACCAAAGGTGTCGTGGGCTTTGAAGCTTGAATGTGGGATGAATGGGAGAAACATGCTAAGAGGAAAGCACGCTTGGCAAACCCTCACCATGATCAACTCCTGCCCAGAAACCTATGTGCCCACTGTGGAAGGACATGTGGATCCAAAATTGGCCTCCACAGTCATTTACGGACTCATTGTTAAGACCATGTTCATGGAAGACAATCTTACTCAGCTATGAGTGATTGCCAAAGAGGAAGAAGTGTGTATGCAAATGCACATGGGTGGGTGTGCCAAACTGGGTCTTTGACCTGGGTAAAATAAAGCCTAGTTTCACCCCTGCAAGTGGGAATAGTTGCTTTTACATTAAGTATCCTGCTTGTGGGCTTCCCAGAGGTGTATAGTTGCGACTCTATGAGAACAGAATGGACTAGGTGCACTTTTGACCTGATTCCCACAAGGGTCTTCTTAGTGCCCATCCACACTGCTGAATGTTATGGATTGTGTACCCCTTGTGCATCCTTTAATTCCCCCTCGGGAGCTGGGCTCCCCCCCTTTTAATTATTCCACTGTTTGTGTGTTTAATTGTTATTTATTGAATGTGTTAACACAAAATACATAAAAACAACAACAGAACAATAACCTCCCCTCCCATAAACACATTTAGAAAAATATAGGATGTTAATCCACCCAAGGCATGGTTGAAGAGGAACGTTTTCCCCTGGTGTTTAAAGGTGTATAATGAAGGTGCCAGGCAAGCCTCCCTGGGGACAGCAATCCACAAACAGGGAGACACTGCAGAAAAGGCCCGTTCTTGTTTTACCACCCTCTGGACCTCTTGCGGAGGAGGCACATGAAAAAAGGCCTTAGATGATGATTGCATTTTTTTTTGGTGCATAAATGTAAAGCTACCATTTTGCCTTCACTGCATAAGGACACTTTTTACCAGTAGAATACAGGATTATCAGATTTCCGGACTCAGTTCAAGGTTCTGGTTTTGATCTATAAAGCCTTGTTTACTTATTAAATTTATAGCCTGCCCTTTTTCCCGAAATAGCACAGGCGGGCCACTTCTTCCCATACAAACACGCCTGGACCCTGGGGTCTACATCAGAAGCCCTTTTCTGGGCACCCATGGAAGGTGAAGAGGTGCAGCCACATTCCCCTAAGCTGCAGCCACATTGCTCATTGGGAGCTGCTATGAGTTGCAGAGAAGAAAACCTGAGTTGTTACATTTCTTAGCTAGCAAATTTTGCTTTTCCATGGCTAACAGCAAATGAGGTCCATGGAGGAGGAGGAGAAGGGATAGACCCCTTTTCCGCCATGCTATGGTCCTGCTGAAGGGGCAAGTTTGAGAGGCACCTGCACCATATGCATTTTAAAAGCACATACTGTAGTTTGCTTCAGGGATGCATCACATTGGTCCTCCAGGGGTTGCTGGAGCCGTTTTAGGAAAATCTCTCTCCCCCCCCCCCCAATAGTGATGTTAAGCTTTTTGAGCTGTTTCTGTTGCTTTTCCCATCACATTGCCATACATCCATTTCACCTGACATTTTGCTGATTCAGCAAAAATTTCCCGACACCATTTTTATGCCCCCAAACTAGGACATGTCAGGAAACATGTCAAGCCTTCGCTTGACTCTCATCAGCTAGCATGGCCAATAGTCAGGGATGATGGGAGTTGGCTCTGTGGTCTAAACCACTGAGCCTCTTGGGCTTGCTGATCGGAAGGTTGGTGGTTCAAATCCCCATGACAGGTGAGCTCCAGTTGCTCTGTCCCATCTCCTGCCAACCTAGCAGTTTGAAAGCACACCAGTGCAAGTAGATAAATAGGTACCACTGCGACGGGAAGGTAAATGGCGTTTCTGTGCGCTCTGGCACTCATTACAGTCCTCCGTGCGCCAGTAGCGGTTTAGTCATGCTGACCACATGACCCGGAAAACTGTCTGTGGACAAACACGGGCCCTCAGCCTGAAAGCAAGATGAGCGCCGCAACCCCATAGTTGCCTTTGACTGGACTTAACCGTCCAGGGGTCCTTTGCCTTTTTACCTTTACCTAGTCCACCAACATCTGAAGGCGCACAAGTTCCTTGCCGCTGGCCTACTTCCTTGTGAGTGATTCCTGTGAAGCCCTTTGTATGTGTGAACTAGAAATGTTTTCAAAGCAAGTAGTGTTGGGGGTGGGGCACTGGAACAAAAAGGAACAAAAATAAATGAAAGCAGGAACTAGGTTGCGGATTGTAGCAAATGTTACTCAGTGCTATGCTCACTTCACTACTTAATAGTCATGAATGCAATTCAAGAGGGGTTGATGCCCTGGGATGCAATAGCAGCCATTGCCAAGAGTCCCTGTGCTTAGCTAGCGGAAAGAGCATCCACTTGTGGCCTTGAAAGTGATTGCATTGGGCGGAATGTGGAAGGATGCTGCAGGCTACGCTGGAGACCCCATGAGGCCTAATCAATCCCTGGCCTTCTATCTGACAGCCCTGCTATAATAAAGTAAGCTTGAATGTTAATGAATTACTAGGGAGGGGGGTGATCCCCAGCACAGCATGAGCTGAGATTAGCTGCTGAAGAATACTAATGAGGTGATATATGCAAATTGCTTGCTTAGGGAGATAATCTTGAATGTGAATGAGGTGTGGAGATAGATATTAACTCAACCAGTCATATTTGAAGCAGGGGAGATAATCTCAAATATTAACGGTGCTTAATACAGAACTGGCAGCAGCATGCTTTAGCTGGGGTTGATGTTTCAACATACTGGCCTTTTTTCCTTCTTCAGATGGTTGACAGGGAACTTTCAAGTTCTGTAATATGTTTGAAATAAATGTTAAATAACATGTACCGGTACTTCTCAACACGTCTCTGTCGTTGATCCACACAAGGATTAAATCTGGTTGCTGCAGTATTGCTTCCCCAGGCTGGTGGTCAATTCATTTTCAAATCTGTCATTTGCTCAGCATCCTTCCCCCCACCCCTTCTTCTGCATGTTTTATAAGTGGGCGGAGCGGGGGGGGCACCCACAATGAAAGGCAAAGCTGTGTGTGTGTGTGTGTGTGTGTGTGTGTTTGGGTGTGTTTGGTAGGGTGTTTTGGTTTTGGTATGTATATTTCAATTTGAACACAATATCTTTCCTAGAGCTGGTGTAGAGCAGCTGCAATCCTAACCCTAGTTACCCAGGAGTAAACCCCATTGAGTTCAACAGGACTCACTTCTGAGCAGGATTGTGCTATAAAGTATTAGGTTTGGATGTGGAAAAAATCAGCTTCAAATCGCTGCTCAGCTGTGAATCTCTTATAATGGTTCTTATCCTGAACCTACTGCAGCAATATTGTTATGCAGCTAAAACACTGTCCTTTGGTGCTGGTAAAACAGGTCGGATATACATAAATCACTGGGAACATAGTTGACTTTTTGCTGCTGTGGAGGAGCACAATAACCTTCTAGGCAAGCCATATGCCAGAGGCAAAAGTGGGCAGAGCAAGGAATGGAAATGTTTCCTTTGTACAATAGGCTAGTTTCTACTCCTTCAGCTCTCTCTCCTCCATCCAGACAAGCAAGAGACCTTATCTGGAGTTCAAGGACACATTCCAGCCAGGTACAAATACTCAAGGAGGGTGTGAAGCGTGTGGAGATGTGGCTGGGGAGAATTCTGAGGGCCGGGTAGAGAAGCCTGGAGGGCCACATCCGCTGTCCCAGGCCTGAAGTTTTCCACTCCTGGTTTAGAACAATATTTATATCTACCTAATAAACAGAATTAGGAAAAGGGTCTTGCAGCTGAGGATGGCCGAACCAGCCCAGAGATTTACACAAATGAAATAAAAAATAAAAAGACTGATATATTGGAGCTAAAATAGACATCACTCCTAGGATTGATAAAATAAGGCTATACTTATAATAATACTAACAACCATATATTGTTGATAGATATTACATATATAAAAATACTTGAGCCTTACCAACAGGCTCGCTCATGGGGCATGCAGTGGGAACTGTTAGGATACTTGCAGAACAGATAGAAAGCTGCATTTGGCACACATATACTTCTGCTAAGATAATACACTTGATTTCAGACTTATAATTGGGCCTTATAATTGGTGCTGAGGTGCATATTTTGCCTGTAAGCCTCAATTCTATACACACTCATCTGGGAGTAAATCCCATTGAGTTCAATGGGGTTTACTGCTGGGTCGATGTACATAGGATTGCACTGTTAAGACAAAAATATTTGATTTGACTGATGTTTTATTATGCTTTTTTAATGGTTTTAGCTGACTGGTTTTATAAAAATGCCACCTGCATGGCAGATAACAAAAACAAATGCATAGTTAAATAAATGTTAACATGCAGGGTTGAGGATTTTTACTAATTTTATCTCTGTTTCTGTACACATGATAAATAGAAGCAGAGGAATGTATTAGACATCAAACAGTTGTATGTACTTGTTTATCTCAGTGTTGATTAGTGAGTACACTTGGTCCTGTCTGAGTGAACACATGACCAAGCCAAGACATTGGGAGGTGGGATTTAACTGCCCTTCCTTCCCACCCCATACAATGTAGACTTGTCTTCTCCCCAAACTGGTAATGCTGATAAAACATAAAGCTGTTGTGATGTATTTATGTATGCATATGCATATATGTTTTACTACGACAAAGCACACTGTTAATGTTACTCCTTTCCCATCCCTTTGGCACTCCCAAACCCAGCTTTATAACTCCAATATCACTACAGTTTACAGAACTGAGTGCAAAGACATTTAACACAAGAATTACTTTTACAAAAAAAGTTTAAAAAGCAATTCATTGAGTTTCTTGCCTGAAATCTACCACCTGGGGCAATTCCCTGATGGTGAAGCCAGATGCATATTAGAATGTAACTGAAGCTAAAGCGTGTTTAAACTGTATAGAAGTGTGGTATTTAGTGCAAAATTATGATAGATCTCTACAGAAGCATCTGCCCCCAGAAAACGTGATCCCCATTTAATTAAGCCATTCCAGAGCCATCTGTATTTCAGCAACATTGTCTATCAATGGAGGAGGGAAAAATCCACCAGGAGCAGCTGGAAACATTAGTTTATTGAAAAACAAAATTACAGCAATTCTAGAGAAACTTTATAACAAATGGATCTGTCCCTTAAACAACATCGACTCTTGGGCTTGGGGGAAATAAGCCCAGATACTGTGGAGTTTTGCTTATAACTCCTATCAGATGAAACCTGTTTCGGTTAAATTTTGTACTCTTTTGTAAATGGTCATGTGAGTTTTGTTGTTTTTGTTTGTTTGGTGCTTTAAATAGCATTTAATTTTACCTGATTAAGGCTGCAGTCTTATACACACTTCCCTAGGAGTAAATCCCATGGAACATAATGGAATTTACTTCTGAGTAAAGATGCACTGGATTGCATGGTAAATCTGGCACCCAGAAAGTTGTGTGCAATGTGATTTTTTTTTAACAGTTGAGAGGAAGTGGGGTGGTTGAGGAGACATCTACTCTTTAAGGGACAGTGAAGGTAAAAGACAGTGGAATGGGAATGTACATATGATCGGTAGTTTTTTTTATTCTTCCTCCCAACATGTTAATTTAAATGCAAAGCAGGCTTAGAAATCGTAATTAAGAGAGTGGTCACATCCACATCATCCATTCAAAGCACTCTTATACCACTTTAACAGACATGGCTTCCTCCAAGGAATCCTGGGAATTGTAGTTTGTTAAGGATACAGGGAATTGTAGCTTTGTGAGGTCTCCTAACTACTCTCTGCACCATTAACAAACCACAGTTCCCAGGATTCTTTGGGAGAAGCCATGATTGTTCAAATGGTATAAGGATGCTTTAAATGTACGGTGTGTCTGTGACCTGGGAAGAAGGGAGGAGCTGTTGAACCTTTTTGCCTGTTCTTCTGTTCAAAACTATTTCTAACCACTGCCTCCCCATTTCTGCAGAAAATGATGCAGGCACTGCACATCGTTCTTAAAAACATCTGGGGCATTCTGAATGGACCAGGGGCAGGAAGGGAAGGGAAGGACCAGTGGGCAGCGCCTTTTCTCTCCATTTGTCCTCCACTCCCAATTTCAGCCTTCTGTGGCTGCTTTTTGTTTAAAATATCCAGAAGCAAAGCCAGGAAACTACCCATGTGTACAATTGGTCCCACCCCCACCCCCCGCAATGTGCTGTGGTCTCAATCCAGAGTTTTCCAAGAAGCAGGGTTGCAGTGGCAATGTGGTTGGCTTCAACCTACAGAGCAACAACTTTGCAATGATGTCTGTTGATCAAGCAGTGAAGTGAAATAGGTGCATGGGGGCGGGGCGGGAGAAGTACTGGAGAATGTGGTTGGTATCTAACAAAACAGAATACTAGAATTTTCCTCTGAATTGGCTGCTTCACTTTTGATTAGTATTCACAAATAATGGTTGGTATTGAACAAAACAGATCCGCTAGCACAGGGGCTTTTTGCTGTGCAATGGAACTTTCCCACTCTTTCTTCCCCAGCACCACCCCATACTTCCACTAAATCTGCGCAGGGGCCATGCTAATCTTCTCTGTATCGTTCCAATTTTAGTATATGTGCTGCCGAAGTGAGCACTGCTTCCACTAAATCTGTTCCCCAAAGCCTCCAGGACAGAATTTGGGGTCATGGAGGTGACACATGGGGAGATGAGAGACTGGAGAAGTTCCACTGAGCACATAAAAGTTCTTGTGCTAGGAGATCTGTTTCATTGGATACCCAGTATCTGTGAATATTAATCAAAAGTTACGCAGCTCTTTCAGAGGAAAATGCTCATATTTTACAACTCCTGAAACAGACTAAGCTGCAACAGAGAGGAGAATGAATGTAAATATGCTGTTAGTGTATGAAGGAGACCTTTCAATCCTGAACAGGCCCCCTAGGTCAAGCGGTTCGTGCTTCTCTCCCCCGAATACCCCATACTGTTTTGGACACTCTTTCTAAGGGTATAACTGCATATATTATGTCAATTGAATACTATGTTAATGCAGTGATTGCTAATCATGACCAATCACATAATGATTTTAACAAAATTAAACACCAGGTGCTTTGAGTACTGGTGCCAATGAACTCTCCCCCCCCCCGTCCAACATGCTAATTCCCACATGTGTGGGGTTGCTAATCACATCATTAGTGTGGTATGTAGCTTGTTAGGACCTCCTAACCCTCAGTGGCTTTGCAGAGTCTCTCAACTGGTCTTCAGGTACATGGGTGGGGTGGGGTGGGATGAGATCTCTCTCCCTCTCATTCAGAAGGGCCACTGTGGGCTGCTTCATATATTATTATTTTCCTACTCTAAGATAACCCCTGTACCTTATTGCTAGAAGCACGCCACACATTATTTGCATACTGAATAGAGACTGTTCAAGCAGCCATGGGACACACCAGTACACTGTGGTTCACCCATTACTGTAACCCTCTACTTTCTTGTATGAACATTTCCACAAAGAAAACTAGTTACGTGGGGAGTGACCCTGTACCACATTTTAATTTTTGGGAGAAGCATGCTGCAGGAAGATCCAGGGCACTAACACTCACATATAGAATTGCACACAACTTTGTTGGGTTCGCCAACATACCTCCCAGCCCACCCATGATTAAGTCTATCTCATCCCACTGGTGAACTGGGATGAGCACCTGATGCTCTCAGGTCTGGGCTTGCTGGTATGACCGTGTGTATGGCTTATTTTAATATTTTGTCACATGGTTCATGAGTGAAAGAGACATCAGTGGTTCCCAAACAGTCTCCGTTCAATACATATACATATATATTTATAATACACGGTTCTTCTTTTTCTCCTATTAACAAAACAAAAAGCCTAACCAAAATCACAGCTGTTGATGAGTATGCATGCCAGCAGGCAATGGAAGTTCTCCATAACTTTTTCCCCCCTTTTTCACACAATAAGGGCCCCTCAGCCTGCCATTGGAAGTAGTTGGAAGAATATGGTTGGATCCAACTCTAAAAAGGAGGGAAATAAACCCCAGAAGAAGGGCTATAACAAACCAACTTTTTAAAGTGCAAGATTCTAATCCAACACAAATTCAGAAGTTGTCCAGTTCCATTCTAGAGGGAAGGAGTACCCATCCCTAGGATGAAGCAACTACCATCCTAATTTTATGATGAGGGAGTCATTTCTAGGAACAGAAAGAATCCTACCTAACAGTGATTTGATGAAAGAGCTGGTCAATTATACAAACAGGAATACATCAACTTTTTTCTAGAAAAAGTATGGACTCTCTAACACACCTGCTGAAGGAAGACGTCTCCACACGGACTCCAGAGGGAGGGAGATTACAGCTCATCTTCAAAAGGAAGGAAATTTCCAGTGAAATTTTAGAATAAGAGATTGCCCTTAAAGGAACAATCTTAGAAAGGAAATTGATTTTGGAAAAGGTCATCCCAAAAGATACCCTACATTCTCTAGATTTCACACTACAAGAGCAGTGAAAGCAGCAGCGAAGGTGCCCAAGATGGTGGAGAGGCCTCTTTGACAAGCTCGTTTTGAGGAAGTCGTAATCAAGGCTAGCTAGAACCAGCCAGCAGAAAAATAAATGAAGCAATCTTTGTTGATTAGCCATTCATTCCTCAAAACCAGGAACACACAGACACACACTCCCTGCTCACTCTGTTTTCTGCAACTCTCTACTGTGTTCCTATAACAGAAAGGACTATCTGAACCGCTTCCCATACATTCTCCATAATAAGTCACACCTATCTAACACCAGGGATGCCAACTTGAATAAAATATTGGGGGGCAGGGGCCAGGTCACATGACACGGTGCACACACACTATTTGAATGGCAATGCCCATCAACTGGGGGGGGCAGCCCCCTCAAATATTTTATTGGGGGGGGCGAAGACCCCTCAACCCCTAGGAGTTGGCTGCTTTGCCTCACACACTTTGAATAGTCACTTCTCTCACACACATATTAATATGCCCATTGCTTTCTGCCAGACAACTTGCTTTTCAGTGATAAACTGGAGCAAACGTCAATCCAGAGAAAACCTGATTGCCACTTGCTCCGGTTTACTGATAATGATCGGGTTTTTCTGAGGGCCAGCGGCAGGGGAAGGCCAAGCAACTAAATGAACATTACTTCCTACATTAATCCTGCCGTTTCCATCGCATTCCCAGTCTTCCTAGGCCTCTAATTCAACTACCAAATAGGACACCTCCCAGCTGCTGCCCACAGTTCTCTCAGAGTACAATTGTGCTCCTAACAATTTGTAAGAGAAACGCAGAAGTGATATATGTTGGCAGAACGAACAAAAAATGCTCCAAACCTCAGAAAACGGCTCGCAATGTTTTCATGGATCTTTAAACATTAATGCAGCTTCTAAAAATGCGCCCCTGTGTATTTCAAGCACAATTGTGATAGCTGACCTGATAAGGTATTGGCACTTATGGGGCTAGGGGGCTCTCACCTTTCAGAAGTTTGTGTTCCCCTGCCGATTCTTGGAACCAACCCAAGAGATCGTGGGTTGGAAATTCTTCTGATATTGAAAGCCTTATTATGTGGGAACAGTTTCCTCAGGTTCCTGCTGCCTTCACCCAGGCCTTCTGGCTGCTAAAAATCTTAAAAATCCAGTGTTATGTCAATCAGGTAATAAGTGAGATCTGTCTGCTTTTAGGATTACTTCTGTCGCTGTTCTTTTCAGCTGCCTGCAAGCTTTAAACCAAGGAAAGCAGCCTGACCTTTCTGCCTCTCTTCGGCTAGGAGCTATGATAAACTGGTTTGCGTGTGTGCTGAAGTTTTAAAACCTAGAAGTCTATAAGGGGTTCTCAATAATATACCTCAGTGTCAGTTTGGGTTCCTAAAGGGAAAGTTGATTTAATTACTGGTTTTCTTTCATTATTATTATTTATTTTAAAAAATACATATTGCAAAATAAAGCAATTTCACTATAAAAACAGCAAGAGAAAATCAGCAATTAAAGTCTACTGGAGCAATCAAGAGAGGCTATTCAAGGTGCAATTAACAGGCTGTTATTCGCTAATTACCAAACAGGCTTCATCAGGTGGAAGAAATAAAGCAGGCTGAAGCTACAAAAGGAAACTAGTGCTTAATGTTGTTGGGCCTTTCTGATGACTAACAATAGGAGGATCTTGACTATGGATAATATATTGTGTTATATTAAATGCTTGTGCATTTTACCATAATTCTACTTTCGTCTAAGGCAAGGGTAGGCAATCTAAGGCCCGTGGGCTGGATGCAGCCCAATTGCCTTCTAAATCCGGCCCACAGATGGTCCGGGAATCAGTGTGTTTTTACATGAGTAGAATGTGTGCTTTTATTTAAAATGCATCTCTGGGTTATTTGTGGGGCAAAGGAATTTGTTCATTTCTTCTTCTTCTTCAAAATACGGTATAGTCCAGCCCACCACATGGTCTGAGGGACGGTGGACCAGCCCATGGCTGAAAAAGGGCTCTAAGGACTCGTCCATATTTGAACATTATTTTGCTGTTACTCCACTCCCCCCTCCCATTCAAATTATACCAAACTGGTCCACACCAGCACACATTTGAATTTGTATATGAGGAGCAACTTACGTTTTTCCAGTTCACACCAGTAGGCGTCCTTTTTAATGTTTGTCCCTGCCTTCTAATCTGCGGATTCTGTAAAGCCAACTAAATGCCGACAGGGCATGCACACAAATTTCCCTGCCCAAGAAGTGTACAAAAGCACACAGGCAATTGTAAATTTGCTTGTGCAATTTTCTGGTTTTGTGCAAATCTGAGGAATCCAAAGAAAACATATCTATATCTAATAGATACACATAGCTAGCTAGAAATATGACGAGTGTCATTTGCTTGGGCAGTTTTCCAGTTTTGTTAACATCTGAGGGATCCAAAGCTATAGAAATATAAAGTTAAGCTCCTAGTGGCGCTTACTAGCAGGCTAGAAAAGACATGAAAGCGGTTGTAAGCTCTCAGCACATTTTCCCCCCAGATAGCTGCTCTATACATAGGGTGTTGAATTTGTTCATGTGATTTGCTCATGCAGCTTTCTGGTTTTGTGCAAATCTGAGAGATCAAAAGAAAAATATACATTCCTCCATTCAGGAGGAAAACAAAAAAAGAAACGAAATCCTTGAGGAACTAGTGGGCATAGAAAGGGGAGCAGCAGAAAGTACAGTTGATCCACCCACCCAGAAACACTGAAACAATTCATTTGTGATCCTGAGTGGAGTTGTTTGGAGTCTGATTTCTCCCAACTTATTTAATTATCTCTGCATCAGGTAAACCTGAATTTACAGAGCAGAAGCATCAAGGCTGGTGTCATTTTAAGGTAACATCATGTGGACTATGCAAATTAAACAGGAAATGCAAACACACAATAAACTGGTGTGGTCAAGCCCTAATTGTGTGGAAACAGTGTCTCCCTTAGCACTAAAGGGCCCTAGTGTGAAAGCAGTAGGAATTCAAAACTGCTGCACACAATCCTTTGCCACATGCTTGGGATCCTCCTACAGATTAGTCCATGTGGAAAGAATTCCCACAAGGCTGTAAGTCTGAAAACAAAATGGACTGCTCTCTGATTCAGCCCATATCCTGCTCCAGAGTTGCAAGTCCTCAAATTAGTTACCTACCAAGTGCCCCTTTCCAACAACGCGCGCACTCTCTCTCTCTCTCTCTCTCTCGGAAGAATATTGTACCCATCACCATTGCCTCTTTCAAGGTTTTGCATTGAGAAGTTCACAAACGAAAAATATAACCCGCCAGCCCCAGAAAGAAGAACAGGATGAAGGTGGGGGTTCATTAGCCCTTGATTAGAGTTTGGTAGGGAAGAAAAAGGGGTATGGTACTGAACAAGAAGGAAAAGAGGCAGAGATGTGCGCAAGATGGCTTTAGACTGCAAGAGGATCATTATCTGCCCCTCCAGGGGCTACTGGGGTGAATTACAGTACCCTAAACTACAGCCTGGCACTGCTATATGTACAAGTTATACAGGGCCCATCAGGGACAGCTAGAGGGATAAATAAGAGACAGGCTGTAGCTTTTTCTGAACTGGAGAAGGACCTCTAAGAAGTTACATAGGAGCAAGAGTGAAAGCTAAAGTAATGTCAAAATGAAGAGAAAATAAAGTGATCGAAACTAAGTGCTGAAACAAAAATCCACCTGTATTTGGAAACGGATGACATTTGAAAGAGTCATACATTTCCAAAATCTTCAACATCTCACATATTTCTGATCTTGGCAGCGATGATTTTTGATATATTGCCCAGAATTTTATCCCCAAAACTTGATTGTCCCTCTGACTAAAAGTTCGTTGCCAAGCTTGTTAATTCTGAGGTATACAAACCTGCTGATATAAATTCAGTATTTCACTTTTTTTCCTTTCTAGTACAAATGGTGTCCCTTTCTCTGCCCCAGTCTGAATGGGAAGAGTCATTCAGAGTCAGGGGGGAAAAAGAAAACAAAAATATTTCCACTATCAAGCATGTTATTTTAAAAATACTTTCTATCATATTTTTTTTTAAAAAAAAAGAAAATTAGGTTCCCCCGCAAAACTCCACCCATTGACAGAGGTAGGTGAAACAAAACTGATTTAACATTAAATCCTGTACATGTCTACTCAGAAGTAAACCCTACTGAGTTAAATTAGACTTTCTTCTGAATAAATGTGCATAGGATTGTAGCATCTGAAAATAAAAATTCAATCTAGGCACACTTCTTTCAGCTAAAACAGCCCAGAACATGAAATAAATATTTCAAGAACGAAATTTAAGACTCAGGAGGGAGGATACTATTAATAAAACCAATTCCATTAAAAAATACTTTTATCTTTCATCATCTGCTGAATGCTGGCCATACTCTTTATATCTCCTCATTTAATTAAAAAAAACAAAAAATATTCAGAAAAGTTACTAGAAAGAAGATGTAAAAGTGGATTTTTTAAGAGTCCTGAGCATAATTGGGGGCAGGGAAAGGGAGGGATAGTGGGAGGTTTGTTTATTAGAATAATGTTTGAAAGAGCCGAGACTCCTTTAAAAGCTACACTCACGAGAACCAAAGAACAGGCATTGATGGATACCCCCAGTAACTGGGAGGTAAATAAAAAGCACTAGAAAAATTGACAGAGTGCTAGCGATATATAAAGATATGTACAGCAGAAGCAGGGAGAGGGTGGACCTGACCCTGCCCTAGATCCCTTACGGGCAGAGTCCTGGCAAGGTTATAAAACAAGGATGGGATGTGTGGGATGAGAGTTGCAAAGGGTGTGTGTAAAGCTCCACTTCCTGCACCTTCAAGTAGTGACCAAACTCAATATTGGATGCAACAAGACAAGAGGGCTGCCCACCATGACCCACTTTTCTCGTCTTGGAGTGCATGTCAGGAAGGAGCAGGGAGGGGGCTCACATCTGTTTCCTTTGCCACGGCATGAACAAATGGTGTGGCCATGCCATCAGATCATTTATGCCCTCATGTTGTGCACCAGTAGGGCCAGATGCCCCTGGCCCTCCTACAAAGGTGCTGGCGTGAACTAGGTCCAAGGTGTTGATCCCAGCCATAAAACAGATGAAGCCCCAAGGAGGTGACTTCGTTCGAAGTGGATGAGCTCAAAGCAGTCAGTGATGTCAACAAAGGTGGATGAGGCCCACAGTGATGAAGTCACTAAAAGTCAACATCATTGCAGAGCCTGGCTACTTTTGATATTGGTAGCTACTGGCTGAATCCATTGTGCTGAAATCATCAATAGGTGACAGGCACAGGAACTTTGACATCATTCTTAATCATCAAGATTGGCAGTACTATCATCAAATGGTTGACAAGGCCTTTTCAAACATCGGTACGACTGTTTTGCCCCAACATCATACAGTATTGACAATACCTACACATCTGACGTCATCAGTCCATGTGATGCCCTGATGGGTTATATCACAATCAATATACTGACAAAACGTTCTCTCCGTTGACATCATCTATAACTGACAAGTCACATAATGTTGATGTCATCAAAGGTCCACAGTGTTGACACCATCAAATGTTGATGGTGTGGGCATCAGAGGTCAACAAGACCCACAGCGCTTACATCATCTGCAGCTGACAGAGTCCACAGTGTTGACACCATTGATGGTGTTGATGGTGTCAGTTGGTCAATGGAGCATCCACAAGGGTTGGCAATGCTCACAGCGCTTGGAGTACCAGAGACAGAGTTTGCCAACCTCATAATAAATCCACAGCGGTTGTCTTCAGTCTTCAAAAGTCTGAGACAAAGCCCACAGAAATGATGCCATCAAATGTTGACGGACAACACTAGTGTTGTTATCAAAGACTGATGGGACCTGGCAATTATAACATGACCCAAAACTATCACCAAGGCTACGTTATTGATGCTGTGAAGGATCCACAGGCCTAGTCTCTTTCAGCCTGGATGTAATCAGATCTGGACAGCAGTGATGTCAACAGACTATGGGAAGAGATAGCAGCAGAATCTAATACATGAGACCTACTAATTTTGACATCTTCAGAAACTGACCAAGATTGTGCAGTAGGTTTCCTCTAAGAAACCAAGCTGGCCTTGACACCATTGCATCTTGACCATGAGCCATAGTGTTGATGTCATTAAATACTGACAGCCAACGTCATCATCTAAGATTGTCAAGACCTGGCAGGTCGGTTGGACACCATCAAAAGCCAGTGAAGACTGAGATGGTATCATTATCAAAGACCAGACTAGGACTTGACATCAACCAAGATGGAGGCCATAGGGCTTTAAAAAAACAAAAGGAGCCCCAAGATGGTGAGCACCAAAGAAAGGGTGGGGTGGAGCAGAAAAGGGTAGAGAAATATGGCCTTGAAAAGTCAAATCAACCTGAGTTGGGGATTAGGGGCCTCTCACACGGTGACCTCGTTCTTGCTGCCAGTAGGGAGGTGTTGGGTTGGGTGGTGCCCAGGGATGAACTGGACTTGATCAATGGTGCTTTGCCTCTTGGCTGCAAAGCCTTGGCGCCGGGTGGCAGCCTGGCTAGTACTGCCGTCCCAAGGAGCAGATGCCTTGGGGGAGTTGTTGGAGGTGGGGTGAGAGTTCTTCATCATCACGTGGTGGTGCTCAAGCATGGGAGTGCTGCTGGCGCAGACGTTGGTCTGAGAGAGGGCCTTCTGGTGGCCCAGATGCATCTCCTGGAAGGGACCTGTGCGCTGATGAAGACGCTCAGGAGAGAGCAGGCGCTCCTGAGAATGCAAGTTTTCGCGGGAGAGGAGGTGCTCGTGAGATATGACACGCTCTCGAGGAATGGTGTAGTCGTAGTGAGATGGGCGGTAGCTTCCCCCTCCACCACCACCATCGGAAAGGATGTGTTCCTGTGACATGACACGCCGTGGGTTGTGGGACTTCTCGGAGTAAGCATCCGTGTCATAGTTCATCTTCATGGCATGTAAGGGCAGAGTCCCTCGGGTCAGTTCGGCAAGATGCCTCCGTTTGGCATAGAATTCATCCAAGTCCTTCTCAGCTGCTGGGAGATAGGGGAGATAAGTAAGATGTCACCGAATGATGAAAAGGTGGACTGGTGGATGTGAGAAGATGACGAAAGAGAAGGGGGAAACAGACAACCTCCACTCCCATAAAACACAAACACCTCATGATCGGTATGTGAAATGGACTGATAAAGCAATAAAATCACATCTGATTTGGCCCTCAAACAATTTGTAATACATACATTGGCTAAAATTCTCATTTGCATTATAAAGACAGTTTTTCTTCAACAGCCAGGCAGGTCACATAAGGAGCCCAAGAGAGGCTCAATGGCAGTGTAAGCCCACGTTTGAAAATTTTCAGTATAGAGGAAACAGGGTCAGGGATGATGGTAAAGAAAGTGAGAGATATCTATATCATGGAGGAAAAAGGCTCAAGTTATTAGCCTTTGGAGAAGATCAGCAACAACATCCTCCCAGTATTCCCTTCCTAAATGCTCCAGCTTACCCAAGCGCTTGAGTGAAGAATAGCGGTTAAGTTCTGACTTGACGGCTGTCTCATATGACGGGGGCAGATGGGAAAGATTGTGGAAAGAACGAGAGCAGCTGAGGGTGTTGTACTTCGTGGTTGAGTGGCTGGGCGTGTGGTTCACATGCCAATCTTTTAGGAGACAGAGAAAGAAGAGAAAGCATATTAGTTCAACTCAGACTGACTTCCAGGGCACTTGGAGTTTTAGTAAGACGAGTTGCTTCCACGCTAGCTATTTAGTCATTTGTCATCTTTTACTGAGCATCCAAGTGACAATGCTGACAACCTTTGGCACTCCCATATTTATTATACTGTCCTCCCACACTCTTGTGGACATGGTTAGTGATGGCTGTTCCCCAGAGCATGTGCTTAATTCAGACAGTACCTGGTGAATCCCTAGCTTTTGAGAAAGGCAAGGATCCTTCTCATCATTAGGCTTCTCCTGTTGGCTCTGCAAACAGCATTCAAGTTAATCCTCAACTCAGGGCCAGGCCACACATGAGGCAAGGTGAAGTGACTGCCTCAGGCGGCAGGATCTACCGGACTGCAGATCCTGATTTTCATATTTCTTCCTGCCTCCTTGTTCCTGATGTAGATCTTCCCTCACCCCTTCTTCCCTGGTGGGGAGAGGGTACCATTTTGGGGTTTGCCTCAAGGGCCAAAATGTCTTGGGCTGGCTTCCTAAACTACACACAGCTTCCCCTTCATGGCGCCTGCTGTCTGGAATCTCTCCCTTGATTCACCTTCACCTTAAGGACATAAGAACACAAGGGGTGCAGCTCAGATCTTGTTAGCCCCCAAAATGGCGGGTGAGTGAGGTCCCTAAAAAGGAGGATTGGCAATTAAAAATGGTAGTCTATGCAGAGTTAGCAGGTCTAACAGGTAAAATAAGAGAGCAAGAAGACCAAGTATGTAAAGAGGAGTGGGAAAACGTTGTGGAGTATTTGGAAAATAATTGTAAACAAGTGAAAACAATGGCAGCATTAAGGTAAATTCTGCAGTATAATATATAATAAAGGGAGAAAGGGGAGAAAGAGATCTAAATGGATATATTAGAATATGCAGGAATGGTGGGAAAATTAAAGGAACCAGGGATGGGGAAGAAGGGAAGTCATTGCATGTTTTTATTAAAAGAAATATATTTACGGTGGAAATTTGTACTTGAATGTGATTTTGGAAATGGTAATAATGAAAATTATAAATAAAAATAAAAAACACACACAAGGGGGGTCCCGCTGGATGAGGCCAGTGGCCCATCTAACCAGATGACTATGGGGAGCTTAAAAGCAGAACTTGAGCACAACAGCACTCTTCCCTCCTGTGGTTTCCAGCAACCAATATTCAGAGGCATATAACCTTCAACAGGGCAGGTACAGCATATCCATCAAGATTAGTAGCCACCGATTGCCTTATCCTCCATGATAACCTCATCCACCAAGAAGACCTTGGCATTTCCTCTCCTGATTACAATCAAGTCAGCTGCAAGTGGAACACCAAGACAACCAAGAGCAGCTGACCTTGCTCTTTCTTCCCTCACCCTCAGAGTGGTTTTTTCCAACTAAAACATAATTGCAGCACCATTTCCAGTGTGGGCTTGCAAAATGTGATAGATATGTGTTGGGGCTGCCAGTTGCTGGGGTCCACGTGTCCTGGCAGGGCTCTTCAGTGTTGCCATGGAGGCAAGTGGCTGGGAAGCTGCCCACCATTTTGGTTTTCCCACAGTGCCCTAGCGCAGTGGTTCCCAATTGGGGGTCCACGTGACCCACCCAAGGGACCCATGGCACCATTCACATAACAGTAACAACCATAGGACATCAAAATTATCAAAAGTCCATGATTGGCTTTTGAAAAACAAGCAGTTTGCAGTACTTAGCTAATTGGGAACCACTGCCCTAGAGCATTGTTGGAACGTGAAAATGATATGTGATTATTTCCTTGCCTCAGCCCCTCTCTCAGGGCCAAACCACAACAAGGGGAGCAAGTGGGTGGGTGAGTGAGCAGAGGGTTGGGACCACTGACATGGATGGGAGTTCACCACAGGTTGTTTTGTTAGACACCCCTCTCCTGTTAAGGAGGTATTCTGCTTTTCCATGAGTTGATTTCCCTCCCGGCTGTAGCATTATTAACTGGTCTTAATTGGCAATTTCCTGTTTCCTCACAGCAGGTTCTCTACTAACTCGTTTACTCTTTTCCGCATGAAGAACTGCTTGATCTTTTGTTATTTATCCTCCATTATTGTCATAGCTAAATAATTTGTAAAACACAAAATAATGCCTCAGTAACAATAAAAAAAACCTCTTAAATTGTTTTGCACTAAACATACGCCTATTATGGCCAAGCTACTTGCACTTGTCTCACTGAGGCACATGACTGGGTATAAGGCAGCTATTGGGTATGAGCAACCTTGCATTTCTCCAGTCAGTAGAGGGCAGTGTTGAGTCTAACAGATGATAAGGCAACTACACTTTGTGGTTTCCCACTGAAACCTAAGCTGCAACCCTTCCTTCTGCATGATTCTATCTCTCTTTGCTCTCCTTCGGCACGGGGCAGCCATGAAACTGTCCCTCATGTTGTAGACTTAGAATCAAAAGCCATCTTTGTGGATAGGAAGTACCATATTTTTCGCTCCATAAGACACACGTTTTCCCTCTTAAAATCTAAGGGGAAATGTCTGTGCATCTTATGGAGCGAATGTGTGGTCCCTGGGGCTGGGGGGGAACCCGGGCTTCCCCCGCCAGCCCCCCAAAAAAGTAGGTGCACCTTATGGTCAGGTGCGCCTTATGGAGCGAAAAATACAGTAACTCTTAAGAAAAGAACCTTTTCTCTGTACCAAACGGAGTCCTGTCTTATTTTATTTTACCCTTCTAAACCATGGCAGTGATGTACAAAGATGACGGGTGGTGGGTTAGCTGCAGCTTCCAAGCTCCCCACTCCTCCACTCTGCTAAATACATATAAACTTTAAGCTGACAATTTGATTTTAAAAATGTATCAGCAGCTTCATATGAACATGCAGGGCTGGATTCTCTGTGAAAAGTCAAGCGGTGTCCTGACAAAGCCCCATCCTCAATTACTTCAAGCAGGGGCAGCAAGAGACCGTAGCAAAGCAAAGGAGGCTTGGGAGACGGGGAGCCTGCCTGGGAAATCTCCTGCCTCCGCACTTGGCTAAGCACTGAGCAGATTCACTTCCATCTGCCAAAGCACAGTGGCTGCCAGGATCAGCAGTCCTGAGATGAAACTGACATTCTCCTCTCTCCCTCCATTCCTCCCCTCTCCTCTGTCTGCTGTGCTGGAAAGAGAGAGAGGGGCGATTCCACCTGGCTGTCCTCTCCCACTCTGTTCCCAACTCAATTCTGCCTTCTGTGTTGTATCCAGAGATGGGCAAATCCATCCATTTCACCCCCCCCATTTAAATTCAGTTATCCATATTTCCATGTCAGTTTGTAGTTTTGTCTTAATGAGAACCCACTAGATTTTAGTGTGATGTTATTTACATTTTTGTAAACCACTTTCCTCTGATACAAAAGATTCAAACCTCATCTTAAATGCAGCCATAACCATAGATTTTGTTATTATTTTCCCAGGAAACTGAAAGGATGACCTACGTGAAGCGGGAGACACATTTGATAAAATCCCATTTATCCGATCTGAGTTCCGGATCAGGTGAACATGGCACAGAATCCCAGAATGGTTATGGGATGTCTGTTCTGCTTTCCCAGTAGCATTACTGGAAAAGCAATAGAATGAGTACAGGATCAACTGAGGCTTCTTCAGGTGGCCACTTTAAGTGGACAACTGTAATGTCAGCCCTCCTGATTTAAAAACAGCTGAGGGGGGGAGGCAGTGGGTGGACTATTTGGGCAGCGCGGACCCTGCATGCACCCAAGCCACCGTGTCTCTCCCAGGAGAGATGTGTGGCTTGGGCACGCTGCAGGCCCCACGGTGAGTGCTGCCCGGCATTTTGTCACCTCCCTCAGTGGTGACACCTGGGGTGGCCCACACCCCCCTTCCTCCACCCCTGCCCCCAGGGGATTAAATACTGAATTAGACTTTAATTGTTCTGTTTACGTTTCTTGTTAAGATGGCTGTTGTTTGTGTTCTCCTTGCTATATATTGGATGCTGTACCTTTAAATTCTACATAATTCTGTGTAATTCAATGTACCTGCTAGTGGCCTTCACAATGCTACTAGTTTTTAGCCAACAGTATCAGCTTACTACACTTTTGAGTGACAGCTGATCCACGGTTATTTGGTGTACTTTTGTGGATATTTGACTTGGTAATGTATCTGTTATTGTATCACAACCCATTATAGAATTTGCAGGTATGTCATTTCAATCACTGTATTTTATTGTAATGGATTTTATTTTATATTATTGCCAGCGGATGAAGAACTTTTATTGAAACAGTCTATTATCCTGGAAGGACTGTTCTGTTGCTGTTGCTTTGTATAGAGCACTCTGTTCCTGTGTTTGGAGCACCAATCATCATTCTTCTGTGTTGCTGTGCTTATAGCACCATCTCGCTCCAGCTCACTCTCAGCAAAATTTTGTATAGGATATTAACTCTGGAAGGTGTTTAGCCTCAATATTCAGTGATTCTTTACGGCCAAATACTAATCTGATCATTTCTTTTCATGGAATATCTACTTGACTCTTATTAGTTCATGACTCCATGTACATACTGTATGTTTTCTGATTGTGAATTAAGAAACAGTTATAGTGTTATATAGATATTGTTAGTATACTATTAGCCTATGTGTTGCTTTGTGTTTGCCAGATTATCTGCATGGAGGAAGCAGATCAAAGAAATGCCCATTTTCTCACATACTGGATTTTCTGTGGCAGGAAATTAAGCAGCTCAAAGTAGTTTAACTTTAAGTAGTTGGGAAAAATCCCAAGGTAAGTGCAAATGTTGGACAACATCATGAGGACACTCTGAGAAGTCTGAATGAACAGGACAGGGTGATGATGGACAGATGTGGAAGCACCTTACGTAAGTCAGCTTGAAATATCATCCTGCTCAATACATATTTAGGTAGACCAGTAAGCTGGTTTTATTTTATTTTATATACTCACTACCTGCCTGCTCGTTTCCCTTTATAATCTTCTTTAATAAACTTACTCAGCTTGGAACTTGGGGCACCACTGGATTTTATAACACCAAAAGGACAGAGGCCACTTCCAGACTGTCACTGTTTTCAGGTGGGATTGAATCACCTCCCGGTAAATTCAGGTTGCGCAGTTAAAGCTGATTTGGCGCTCTTGTGAAATAAACCCACTTCCCCAAAGGATCAGGCTTTTTGCAATAAGGAAAGTGGCAGGAAAAGGCAGAAGAAAGTGCAGGGTAACACTTGCTTGACGCAACCTCCCCACAAGCAAATCAGACTGAATGCTCATAAATTAACCAACATCGTCTAACATTTCCGCAAACAAATCAGGCTGAATTAAACAGCTTGTTTTGAAGTGACCAGAGCTCTCTCCCTGCTGCCCTGACTGCTGGAATTACCCTATGGGCTATAAGTTAATGGAAAGCAGGAGGAAGGATGGGCCTGACGTTTGACTGTTGCAGACTCTGCTCCTGGTCTGCAGCCTCCCCCTTCCCAGATAAAAAACCAGCACGTTGCAAGACCTTCAGTCACCACAACTTAGGCTCCTTAAGAATGAGTGCTGGCAGTTCCAAGCAGGTGGACGAGATGTTTGGCAACCTGCCTACACAGCCCTGGGATATGAGCCTCTCATCCCACCTTCACACCCACTGATTCCCCCCCTGAGATTATCCAGGAAGACTCCAAATCCCCCAGTGTATATATGAGACAGGGCCTTCTCAGCTGTGCAACACAGAAAGCAGGTCTGGCGTCAATATCCTGGGGCAGCTACCAAGGAAACCGCACCGCAGCAGGGTCCACTGCTAATAACTGCCCTGAACCCCTTTAAAATGTATTTTTTCATGGCCTGGCAATGCCAGGTGTTTTGAGTCTAGCTGCCTTTTAAATTTCCCACAATGCTGTAGAGCGACACTTAATTGGGGGCATTGTGCATGATAAAAATGGTGGCTAGACACAGCTACCTGGTACTTCTCAGACCACTGCTGCCCTCCTCCAGGTAAGCCAACCAACAGAGGATAGGGCCTGCCAGAGGGCACTCAGGGCCCTCTCAGACCTGCAGCCGGTCCTGTCAGGAAGCTATCTTCTATAAGGTTAGACTATTGATCCATCATAGCCTAGTGTTGGCTACTCTGACTGAAGACAACTCTCTTTCACAACCACACCTTACCTTTAAAGCACTCTTATACCACTTCTCAGAATCACAGGAACTGTAGTTTGTTAAGGGTGCTGTGGATTGCAGCTCTGTGGCTGAGGAATAAACTACAGTTCTCATGATTATTTGCGGGAATCCAAGACTGTTACAGTAGTGTAAGAGTTATTTAAATATAAGGTGTACATATGACCTAGAAAGCACAGGGATGGGGAACCAGGGTGCCCATGTTGCTGGACTACAACTCCCTTTATCCACTGCCGCTGACTGGGAGTTGGAGTCCAACAACTTCTGGAAGACACACAAGTTCCCCATCCTTGGCCCTTCACATAACCTGCTACCTGATTCTTTTTTAACCTGGGGCCTTCTGCACTGGAGAGGGACCATTGGTCAGGGGTAGAACATGCACTTTGCATATTCTACTCCTGAACAATGGTCCCTCTCCAGTAGGGCGCCCAGATTCACTCCAGAACATCGTCCCTTGTTGGAAGGTCTCTTTAGCCCCCCTGCCTGCCAGTTTATGAGAAAGCAGTAAAGACTATCCTGTTTCAATGAGCTTCCAACTAAAGTTGGTTTGCTTCCCTGATCAGCTTTGTTGATCTTATGCTGTATGCTTCCTGTCTCTCTGTTTTATGGTGCTCAAAAGTATAATGTTCGGGGTTTAAAAATTGTTGCATGCCACTTCGGGGGCAGGAGGGCTTTTTATCCAAAAAGCAGTCCACCATCATTATTATTTTTAATTTAAACAAATAAGTAAGTCAATAGAGAATCAGCAAGTTGCTAAGATGTCACTGTATCTAGGGATCCAACTGCTCCCAGCACTTACCCAGAGTGGCCGTGTGATGCTTGGGGCTGTTGACGTTCAGGTGGATGTAATTATGATGCATGTTATCTGCAAGGCAAAAACAAAGCGAGAGAAAGAAGTGTGTGTATGTGGTGGAGCGGACCATGTTAACAACGTTCACCTGCTAAAGCTGGAGATCATTCTTATCTGCCTCGAGCAGCCACTAGAGGTCACCCAACACAGACTAAAAATGTCCGCTCCGAACTTGCAAACAATTCTGGCAACGTTGGTCTGCAGGGCCAGTGTGGCTGCATTAACATTAGCTAGTTTATTTATTTGTTGCTGGGAAATTTCACAACCGGGTTTGGGCTGGGAGAATATCAGCGCAGGCTGGGATTATGATCAGGACTAGGCATGCAAATTGATCACACCATCATTTGAAAGGGATGAATGATGCATGCTTATACTGAACGTAAGAAGGGCCCTGCTTATGTTCTGGTGAAAGTCCCCTCTAGTCCAGCATCCTGTTCTCAAAGGTGCCTATGGGAAGCCCAAAAGCAGAACCCAACTGCGACTTCCCTCTTCCCAGCTGAACCTGACCGCAACCGCATTCTCCCCACCTGCTATGTACGCAACTAGAGCAAGGCAGAGCAGAAGGTAGATCAGGATCTACTGGAGGTTTTGCAGGAGTTTAGCAAGGGCTCTCTGACTCCCAGCTGACAAATAATAGCAAGAAACCTTTTTAAAAAAACAAAACCCTTCCAATTAAGCTACTAAAAAAGAATGCTTGGGGGGAAACCAAGAGTGGATTTTTCTGTGGAACGGTTGGTCTTGCTGATACCGTTAATAGATTCCTGGGACTGAGTGATGTGCTCAGAGGCACCCTGTTCCTTAATCCTCAGCCTGTTTCTTGTACCTGGCGGCCCTTAGGTCTCTAGTGAAAGGAACAAAGGAGATCTTACAAGCCTGAAAATTGCCCACCCCTCTCATAGAACATACATGGCTACCATGCTTTATTTGAGGGTTGGGAGGGAGGGAGAGGTTGAAGAGGACAACCTGGCTTCTGGCACTGGAGCCCAATAAATTTAGGAGACGGATCTGGGGACTGCCAAACCCCTTCTCTCTGTTTCTGCAGCCATTTGAGGATCTAGGCGTGAAGGTGCCATGGAAGGAGGACCCATGCCATCTGTTCCATGGTAACGCTTACAACTTCCACCCTTGGCAATAGGTGAGGCTGGGAGAGTATGATTGACCAAAGGTGAGTGAGCTTCAAGGTTGAGCTGGGATTTGAACCAGTCAAAGTCTGACACAGTCTGGCTCTCAATTAAGATAGTACTACAGTGGTACCTCGGGTTAAGTACTTAATTCGTTCCGGAGGTCTGTTCTTAAACTGAAACTGTTCTTAACCTGAAGCACCACTTTAGCTAATGGGGGCCTCCTGCTGCCGCCGCGCCGCCGGAACACGATTTATGTTCTCATCCTGAAGCAAAGTTCTTAACCTGAAGCACTATTTCTGGGTTAGTGGAGTCTGTAACCTGAAGCGTATGTAACCCGAGGTACCACTGTACACTGTTACTACAGCAAGTGGGGTCTGCAGCAAAATGTTGCAGTGTACCCTCCCTCCTAAAAGGAGTTGTGTTGTTTCAGGTTCCAGCCAGCCATACCTTCCACACAGGACATTGCACTTTTCTCACTCCCCCCTGTTGAGGGCGGTGGAAGTGCAGCCTTTGGGCTCCCCACCCCCAAAATATTTTTTGTACTTCTGCAAACCTTGAGGTACCCCCCCCAGCATGCTGACACCTACCCCTTGTTTGCCAGTGATCCTGGTTTTGCCTACAATTTTGTTGACACTCACCACCCCTGAGTTTGCTACTAAAACGAATAACTGAGACCAGGTGTGTCTGGGCTCCTGGGAGAGAAGGGAGCATTTAGCAGGGAAGAGGAAAACTGCAAAAGCGCCTCCTGAGCACTTGAAGGCTTTTCTTTCTACCTGGAAAGAAAACAGTTCATGTCTCAATAAGGCCCTCCCCCCACAACCCTAATATTAATCTTCAAGCCGACACAAAGACAGCCAGACAGCTAGAACCAGTTGCTATGGCAAACAGGCTGTTTCCCCACAAGCTTTTGCAGCTTAATTCCTGCTGAGAATACACACACACACACACACACACACACCCCAAAGAGCAGGAGTTAACATATTCCAACAAAAATAGTAAGAGAAGGGGCTAGAAGTAGATCACAGAGAAAATAGGCGATAGATTCCAGGAAGATTCCTGGGGTCCATGGAGAGGCCAGCTCAGGCTGCTGTTGGAAAATGGGGTGTGAGGCCTTCACCTCTTTTAAAGGAGCCCTGTTCTTGATCCCAGTTTTGCTGGCTTGGGAGGACATTTTTTTTGTTACATTTATATGGCATTCCTTGCTTCAGAGAACTGAGAAGGGGAGTTCCCAAGTGATTCCTCATGGGGGTTGGTGCATACGTTGACATGAAACCATGGTTTGTGCTAACTTTAGCTGAGACTCCAAACCGTAGTTGGTGTTCCAAGATTTACCATAGTTTGTGCAATTCCCTTCCCTCCTCCACTTTCCTCTTACTGGATTCTATCCCACACTGAAGCCTATGAGAGTGGAACAACGTAACCATGGTCATTGATTCAGATGTGACACCAAATCACCGGTTTGCAAACTTGTGATTTCAGGTTCTGATCTGGCTGCCACTCACAAACCATGATTTGTTGGAAAGCGCTGGTTCATACAGTATAACAAAGCCTTGGTTGGGATTCTACAAACCATAGTTTTGGTGTTACATCCAAATAATCTCACTTAGATATTCAGTGCACTCACACAGTATTGGTTAAGCCGGGCATAGGCAAACTCGGCCCTCCAGATGTTTTGGAACTACAATTCCCATCATCCCTGACCACTGGTCCTGTTAGCTAGGGATGATGGGAGTTGTATTCCCAAAACATCTGGACTGCCGAGTTTGCCTATGCCTAGATTAAGCCAACATATTGGCTTATTATCTCTTTTAAGCCATGATGCTGCCATCAGAAGGGGTTGGAGGTCAAGTACCTGGTTATACAGTCCAAGATAATCATCTCTTTTACTCCCCATGGCACCCCCCATGGAGACCCTCACTTTCCTTCCTTTAGCACAGTCACCCTCCCGGCAGTTGAGCCCCATGTGCCACTTAGGTTGCCAAGTGACCAGAAAGAAAGAAACACGGATCCTGGCCTGTACTTGTGCCTTTAACAGCAACTCAATCAGCGTGAAGCTTTTTTGGAGATGGGGACAGTGTTGATTAGGATGGATGATATTAAATAAATCCTTCCTCGAATTCTAATAAAAAAATTATGCAGATCAAGCTGTTGGGGAAGGTTGGTAGCTGATCCAGGATTTAGCAGTCTGAAGCCATCACTCGCCTTGTCAGGCTGCCTGCAGTTCTCTTACCATGGCTGCTTTTGGACGGTTTCACTGTGTTGTACAGGTTCTTCGGGGGACGAGCTGAACCATTGTCTTGGAAGTTTGAGTTAATGACAAGGCTGTTGTTGCGTTCAGAGCATGAGCTGCTGCCTGCTTGATGCCTGAGAATGTCAACCAGTGCCCTGGCCAGGAAAAGAAAGGAAGTGTTAGTGAAAGGGACAACAAGGCATGTGTTTGGGCTGGATTGAGGCACTTCATTCATAAAATCATAGAATTGTAGAGTTGGAAGGGACCACAAGGACCCCCTGCAATGCAGGAATCTTTTTGCCCAACACGGGGCTCGAACCCACGACCCCAAGTCTCATGCTTTACCAACTGAGCTATCATCCCACCTTAGTATCTTTACAGTATAGCATGATTCAGTGAAGGTTTATCCAACTTCACTTGCTTGTCCCTATGGCAAAAAAACTCTGCCCCAGGTGTTGGCGGGGGTGCAAGAGAGCTCTCCCCGCTTGTGCAACTGGTGTTCAGAGGCATACTGCGTCTGATACTCAAGGTATTACAGAGCCATCATGGCCAACAGCAGTTGACAGCTTTCCATAAACATGTCTAAACCCCTTTTAAAAGGTAAAGGACCCCTGACAGTTAAGTCCAGTCGCGAACGACTCTTGGGTTGCGGTGCTCATCTTGCTTTACTGGCCAAGGGAGCCGATGTTTGTCCGCAGAAAGTTTTTCTGGGTCATGTGGCCAGCATGACTAAGCCACTTCTGGTGAAACCAGAGCAGGGCATGGAAACGCCGTTTACCTTCCTGCCGGAGCGGTACCTATTTATCTACTTGCACTAGCATGCTTTCGAACTGCTAGGTTGGAAGGAGCTGGGACCAAGCAACGGGAGGTCACCCTGTTGCGGGGATTCGAACCGCTAACCTTCCAATCGGCAAGCCCTAGGCTCAGCCACCCGCATCCCAAAACCCCTTTTAAAGCCATCCAAATTGGGGGCCAATACCACATCACTTAGCAAACCCCATTGTTTAACTGTGTGCTGTATGAAGTACTTCCTCTGGTCTGTTGTGAATCTTCTGAGCTTCTTTTAATGACTCCAGGTTCATTTCTTTTAAAAAAAATTGATTGTTTTTTTCTATTATTATTGTGTAACGAAACTCATGCCTTTTCTAGTTCTACAATGCCCTCTAAGCACAATATTTCAAGTGTGGCCTCACCATAGATTTGTATAGCAGCCTTCTGATACAGAGTTTTATTTGCATTCCCTTTTCAGTCCAATGCAGTGTTAGAGCACAGCGAGTTACTGGCCCGGGTCCTTCTCTAGAACAGAGGATATGTGTTTGTACAGTTAAATTAGGACTTGTAGTTCATCAGAGAGGTTTGTTCTTCCCTAGACAACATCCTCTAAAGAACTACCAGTCCAAGAGTTCTCTCTGCTTAGGCAAGAGAGAGAGACAGCTGGTGGTGAGAGGGACAGACGCCACAGGAATTGAAGACATTGATCCGAGAGAGAGAGAGAGAGAGAGAGAGAGAGAGAGAGAGAGAGATGGTGTTTCTGGTAGGATTTACAGCAGGCGTTCTACTATGGGGCAAGAGCAATTAAGCCACCCACCTATTTTGTTTGTTGAGTGTGAATTTGCAAAAGAAATTGACTTTGGGGAGGTAATTCATGATTTTGCAACAACGACGAAAAGGTCATGAACATAAAGCTTTAAAGCAAATTGGTCTATCAATAGAATGTTTCAGCTGTGTTAGTCCGTTAGAATAGTAATTGTTACAAAAATTCCGAGGACACACAGAATTCTGATCTGGAGCCATTCTGGGGACAGAATCCCAGTCCAGCTCTGAGCCACACTACCAGCTGAAATGCTGCCAGGTTCTCACCACAGGGCTGAAGAACAACTTTTGACCCCACCTTGCAGCCTGCATTTTTTACCTGGGCACGTTGAGCTCCCTTCCATGCGGTCTCCTTGAGGCTTTGCTGAAGAAGAATTTGAGCCCGACTCCCACGGCTAAGGTGAAGCTGATGACCCCACAGATCACGTACACGGTGCTGTTGCCCGTCTGCTTGCTTCCGTTTGGCACATCGGGCCCGTTGGTGGCTGTGCCGGCAACGGTGGTGGCAAACCACTGCGGGCTGTCGCGGCACTTCCCTTGCTCCAGCCTCCTGGACCGGTCCTCGCAGCAGAAGCGATACTGGCACGTGCCGCAGCAGAAGCGGTAGCCCCCCGTGGTGCAGTTGAAGGCCGCGTCGTACTGCCCCATGACATCGTAGTAGCCTTGGCAGGTCTCCGAGGGCCGCACCCGGCTTGTGCCGGTGGTTGCGTTGCTGCTGGATGACGTCAGGCGCTTCAGGTGGGCCAGGAAGTTGGGCAGGCCCCAGCTCTGGTTTGTGTGATGTTGGGCCTGGATCACGGCCAGAGCGGTGCGTCCCCCCAGGGCTTCCAGGGCTGCGTACAGCATGACTGTCAGCAACTGGTACATGGTGGGTGGGAGAGTGCCGAGGAGCTCCAACGTTGGGGTTCAGATAGATGTTTTTTTAAAAAAAAGCTTATAAAAGAGATCCAGGAAGAAACACTGCAAAAGATGCAAACGAGATTGTTAGAACATGAAAAGAAGCCCTGCTGCATCAGACAAGAGGTCCCATCTGTTCCTGTTTCTCACAGTAGCCAAGCAGATGCTTCCCAGGAAGAATGTGAAGGCAACACTCCCATCCCTGCTGGATAGTCATATCCACCACCACCACCACGGGCATCTGAGATTCAGAAATACACTGCTTGGCCATGGAGGTTCCATCTGGCTCTCATAACTAATAGCTGCTGATAGAGCTATCCATCATGAATTTGTCTAAAAACTATCTTAGCTCATGGCTTTTCCATGGTGAGCATTAAGCTGTGTAATACTCTCTTCTAAGAGCTCTACAGACTGCCAGTGTTTTGAAGGATGGATTCAGGCATATTTTAAATCTATTTTTACCCAAGTGGGATTTGAGAAGCCCCTTTTATGTGTTTGTATTTTTCATGTGGCGATGCTGCAACATACCTGTTTTGACTTGTCCTTTAGTTTTTGTAGGCATAAATTGTTGCCTAGAGGACTAGGTTAATAGGCAACTAAAAATGTAAATAATAAAGATAAACAGTACTATTGCAGCAGTGAATGTTTGGCTTAATTTCTTTTTTTAATTAATACAATTTTATTTTGAACTAGAGTTCAAAATTTTGGCAACATTTTGGCACACACACACACACACACACACACACACAGAAAGAGAGAGAGAATATAATAACAACATCACTAAAAAGACTAAAGAAACTCTCTGATAATCCAAATATAATGTCAGTGAGATAACTAGCTCACTAACAATACCTATATAAGTTATACATAATACATATATACACTGTAGTCAGAAAAAAACATGAGTCTCGTGGCACCTTAAAGACTAACCAATTTATTATGGCATAAGGTTTTGTAGACTTGGAGCCCACTTCATAAAATGGATGAAAATATGGGCACTTTATTAAAATTTTATCAGAAGCTTTAAGGGCTTCCATATAGGAAATAAATGGAAACTATGGCACCATAATTGAACAATCAATAGATAGATAGCTGTGTATGTAATAAGGATTAACTGCCTGCTGCACTTCCTTGAGTGTGTTTGTGTTTAAGCATAATCTCCCAAATTGTATTCACCCACTGCTGTCTAGATATGCATATAAAATGAGAAATTCACACTAAGAAGCTGATGGATTTCCATGAGGACTTCTTTTTATAAAATTGCAAACTGATGTTGGAACGTAGAAAACTGAATTTAAGGTTGCAAACATGAGAGATACCAAAATTAGCAGATTAGCCCATCCCTCACCCCCCCCCCTTAGTTGTATTTTACTTATTTTTGTCACAATTGAAAAGTTCCAAAAGCCCTCTCTTTTTTGCTTCCGAGCCCCTAAAAACAGCACGTACTCCGGTTTACTGAAAGTAAAGAAGAAACTGATTTGGAGAGATGAATTCTTAATAATTGTTTCCTAGCTTATGTTTGAGAGAGAGAGATAAATCAAGCATAATATTCACGTAATCCAGTGTGTGTGAGAGAGAGGAGTCAGGGACTGTGAGATGTGTCAGCGCCAATGATAATAGGACAGAGAGTCATGAGGTCCTGGAAGCCAAAGAAAGTGAACCCCAAAGCATCCAAGTTAGCATTCTGAGAAATGTTACTAGATTCACATAAAAAGGCAGAGATGCAGAATCTCATCACACAGATCAACACTGGGGGATGTGGCCCTCCAGACCTCTTTATCTGGCCCACAAGGCTTTTCCTAATCCACACACCACCCCCAGCTACACCCTCATTTTTGCCTAAAACATGTCCTTGAATTCTGAAAGTGCTTCTTGCTTGCCTGGATGGAGGCTAGAGAACGGCGTGTTGAGTATGTGTAGAAACTAGGCTACCCAACAAAGTAAAGTTTATATGAATTGTTCCATCCACTTTTCCCTCTGGCTATACCTACCACTGGCAAGCGGTTCAGAAGGAAATGCAGCCCCTGGGCTGAAAAGGATTCACAACCCTGCCACAGAGGGCTGTGACGTGATGAGAAAGAATGTTGGTTTCGGGATGAGCTGAGCCTGTACGAAAAGCCACTCAGGAGGGACCACAGTTTCATGACCAAACACATTCTTTCCTGTCTCCAGGTGGCAGGTGCTGGTGAAAATCTCTGCCTGAGGAGAAGCCCTGGAGAAGGGTCTCGTGCTCACCAGATGTTTTCAGACTATGACTTGGTAAACCGTAAAAGAGGAGATCTCTCAATAACACAAACAAAATAACCAATAAAGGACAAAAATGATAAATGGATGATAAAACATGTATACGGCAGTGGACTCAAACCTCCCTACATAATACAGTTATAGATAACCACCAATAAACAATGGAAGACCTGTGTATCAAAACTAATACAAAACTAAGTCTCAGTGAAATTGAACAACCAATATGAAGGCTATATATGACGGAAGTAATAAACAAATCATGAAAACTTCATGTAACAGAAATAATATATAGTCCAATATCAAGTAAATGAATAGCGTATGCTAGTGGGATTAACACGAGGCATCAAATAAATTTGATGTGCAAATTCCATGCAGTAGTAAAGTAAATGATCCCTGGCCGGCACAGATGTTGAGTCGTGGTACAAAACATCTGGAGAATACCAGGTTGGCAGAGGGGAGAGCATGAAATACAGAGGTAATGGAGCCAAGGCCTGACTTGTTCCAGGGCAGCTCCCTATATAGCTAAAAAGGGCTCTAGGCTCCACTTGGACCACAATAAAAACAGGTTGTTGGTGCTTTAAATCAGAAGCTGAGACAGGAAGCTGGCTTTGGCATGGTGCCGTGGTTGCTTTAGGGCTACTGCCAGCTGCCCCTGTGCTTGGGTCTGCCCCCCTGTAATGCCTGTTCAGTCTCTACATCTGTAAATAAACGGAATTGTTACAATGAGGGCTCCAAGTCTCCAGGTGCTCTCTCTTTTATTCAAGAGCAAATGACCCCATTAGGGCTCCTTGGAATTTGCTACTGCCTGAGGAAGGGAAAAATGCAAAGCAGTTTGGTGCTGAATTGAGGAAAAATTTCCCTTTCCCCAACAGCTCCCCCACTAGCCGCTGCCCCCCCCCCCAGTCCTTACTACATGCCATTTCACACACAAGCCCAGCGTCAGCAATGCGTCATACTTGGGCGAATGCTGGGGCTCTGGGACCCCAGCAGAGTCCATCCCCACAGGACTGCTGCCCCCACCGCTGCTGATGTGACTCAGGTGGGATGGGCAGGGTGGCTGAGGCATGCATACGACTGAACTCACTGGAACCACCATCTTATGCCGGCATCACCCCGATGAATGTGGATTGGGAAAGAGGCTGGCAGCCATCATTAAGATGAAGATCTCTGCTAGACAACGCTGCCACAGGCATTTTGCCCACCAACTAATAAGTCCTGGGGGGACGGACCAAGGGCAGCTTGATCAGGGCCCCCAAAACCTGGAGCTTGGCCTGTCCTGTCAATGGCTATTATACTCTGCCTTCATGTGTCTGAATTAGAGTTGCCATATTTCAAACAGTGAAAAAATCCAGACAGAAAAGTTATTGAGCTTTTTTGAGCTATCTTTATGGAAAATTGGCATATGTCTGCCGACATATGTCTGGATTTTCCTGGACATTTTTAATGATTTCCGCCCAGGCACTGCTGCTGACTGCAGTATTCCATATACGTCCAGGAATTTCCAGACGTATGGCAACCCTAGGACTCTGAATACCAGTTAATGGAAAACGCAGGAGGGGTGCCTGTTGCCCTCAGGTACTGTTTGTGGGATTCCCATGGGCATCTGGTTGGCCAGTGTGAGAACAGGATGCTGGACTAGATGGGCCACTGGCCTGATCCAGCATAATTCTCATGTTCCAATTATCCCTCTTTATGAAGAAGCATTCCAATTTTCTGCTGTCTGTTCTTGATAAATCTGTCCCATCCCCCCTTTTTGCATTTTAGAGATGGTGGGTTAAAGTTCTGTTTGCGTGAGTTGACCGATTTGCCGTCCTGCAGACATCAGTCTTCAAATGGATACATTTCGTCTCCAGTGCACATGCATGCGAAAATGTGCACATGAATACTAAGGCACCACACAGCGCCCAGCCTAACATTTCACACACGGCAGCTGCAGAGGAATAAATATACAGTAATAATAAATGAAATAGCTATAAATGTTCTCTCCTTCTGTGGTATCAAAATCAGCTGCCTCAGCCACCACCAACTAATTCCACCTAATGGCAGGTACCCCACTGAATGGCATCCCCAAACCTGTCGCCTAAGGGAAGTGGCCTCATCCCAATCATGCTCAGCCAGCAGAACCATACTAAATTACTAGGGATTTTTATTTTAGCTTCCTCTTTCCACTTTCCCTTCTATTCAGCTCTTTCCCGTGTTCAAGCTAGCCTTAACGATTCTGCTCTCCTACACAATAATCTGTTTTCACATTTGAGCAGAGAACAAGGAGTACCACTCTCTTCAAGCAATAAGCTGGGTAGCCTTCTTTGTGGTGCTTCGAAGCAGAGGGCATCCCTCCAAGGCAACATTCTACCAAAGCTCCCTCAAACGTTGCTTCTTCTACCCCAAATATTATAGTATTGTAGTTCAAAAGAGCCCAGCAGGCAACAGGTTATGGTTAGCACTACAGGTGGCAGAAAAAGAAGTTCTGCCCAAATGGGAAGAAGCATCAGGAAGACGAAGAGAACTGGGCACCTGTGGGCCAAATTAGATGTGACGCCGAATACTCTTTCCTTTATTTCCTGCATTTATATAATCGCCTTGGTTCTTTGGGCAGCCGGAAAAGCAGAAAACAAACACACAAATGTTCAATATTACATATAAAACAATAAAAGCTATAGAGAATTAATTAAAAAGCTGAAACACAAAACACAAATGAAAATCAGTTTAACATAGCTCGTTAAATG